CCTTGGGTCAAGGTCATGACACACCCTTGGGTCATGGGCAATCTTTGTATGAAATGAGAACCTACCAAGTTTATCCTTAAGAAAGATATGGACCGGACACGAATTATTAAATTTTTCTACCAGTGACCTTGAACTTCTCCAAATGACCTTGAGTCAAGGTCATGACACACCCTTGAGTCATGGGCAATCTTTACGTGAAATGAAAACCTACCAAGTTTATCCATAAGAAAGATATAGACCGGACACTAATTATGAAATTTTTCTTCCAGTGACCTTGAACTTCCCCAAATGACCTTGGGTCAAGGTCAAGACACACCCTTGGATCATGGGCAATCTTTGTATGAAATGAGAACCTACCAAGTTTATCCATAAAAGATATATGTCAAACATGAATTTTGAAATTTTTCTCCCACTGACCTTGAACTTCCCCAAATGACCTTGGGTCAAGGTCATGACACACCCTTGGGTCATGGGCAATCTTTGTGTGAAATGAGAACCTACCAAGTTTATCCATAATAAAGATATGGACCGGACACGAATTATGAAATTTTTCTTCCAGTGACCTTGAACTTCCCCAAATGACCTTGGGTCAAGGTCATGACACACCCTTAGGTTATGAGCAATCTTAGTGTGGAGTAGTAGATTCTAATGTCCCTCTGTAAGAAAGATATGGACCGGACACAACTGCACAGACAGACGGACAGACGGACAAGGTGATTCCTATATACCCCCCCCAAACTTCGTTTGCGGGGGGTATAAAAACTTAAAGAGGAAAACGAAAGCTTAAAAACTTCCAATGAAGGCCTCCGATCAAGTCTTCTACAGATTCGGCGGGAATTACTGCGTGAAGACCATCGCCATTCACCGGCTCAGCCAAGTGTACAGCAGGTGCCCGTGAACCATGGACATTTTCGGACTTCCAAAAATTATTATCGTGGCAATCCCAGACGATATTAAATAAAAACTGTAAAATTTGTTTTCAAGTTTGGGGACCAAACTTATCGTGGCTAAGGGGGTAATTGTCGTGTACTCATTATTTGAATTTCTAATTCAATAATTAGTAAACGACATTTGTCGTGATGAAAAATTACACGATATTTAAATGTTCATATTCCTAATAATTACTGATTTGTTTTATAGTTATTTTTGATGCTATTTGTGATAATTTTATGAAAGCTTTCTGATCCTGTATTTGTTTAGCAAAATATCTTACATTCCACGGGAACCATTTTGTATTAAATCAAATTATCAATTGGTGTTAAACAGAGTTAATCCCATAAAGTAATTTTCACATTTTGACCACGACAAGGATTTACGGGTGATTTTTATAACAACGCTGTTAATGTGACATGTTTATTTAATTGTCCATCTATAGAATGTCACTCTTTTATCTTATCTCTTTGTGTGACACTTAATTTCTTCTTTGTGCTTAATTTGTTTTACTCAAACGTGTTTTTTGTTAGTCAGTTGGAGACGGACAGCCATGCCGTCAAGACCAAACTGTAGTCCGAAAGAAATACTATAAATCCAAAGAATATCTTAAGTTGTTTTGAGCATCTTTATTTCTGTTTATAAAGTAAAACGGTTTCCCCTTATCAAACGCATTGGAAGCATTGGGATAAGAAGCGCCATAGGCCGAGTTGGAAATACGTTACTTAATTGTCGTGTACTCATTATTTGAATTTCTAATTCAATAATTAGTAAACGACACTAGTATTATCTTGTTCCTCCCATTTCATTCGTCCGCGACTTCAACAAATGAAAATAATTAAGAATATGGCAGGTTTGCTAACCGATTTGTACAATTCAATAATGTATCATATAAAATAATTGTTGATGTCAATATGATTACTTGATTTTAGCAACCCTTGAAATACAATATTCGCCCCCCTTCCGTTTCGGTGAATATTGACTAAAGCAACAGCCGCAACGTATAGTGTAACAAAGATATTGTACATATGTACGAGTATGTATCAGATATTCGTTTTATGTATTTTATAAATTAGAGTTAGCTTCACACCATATTGGATCATGGTGTACTCAACATTAGAACAACGCTGCATTTCATTTCCGGAATTTTGCACATACAGCATTTCCGACTTCGGAATTTGTTTGAAAGTTACTCTTCTCCAATTTAATGTTAACCAAGTAGGTGAATTTTAAAATTTATTCCAAACCAAATTCTCGAAATTTAAATAAGAAACATATAACGCATCGTATAATATATACAAAATTATATACTATTCAAATTACTTATACCGGGGTATTGGAGCTAGATCACAACGGATGTGTCAACCAAGGTAGAAACTGAATAATATATTATATCAATTCTTGATGATTATCCGCATTACAATAATAGGTGCTACAATCTGGTTCATAAACATATAATGCGTACACCCATACATATGTATTATATCATATTTTTTTACCAAATCGTGTGTGGATATTACAACCCTTTGAGTAATAAACGTTAGTAGGCGAGGAATGTGGGGTCAGACTCTATGGTCATATACAACTGAATTTAATTTGACACAATTCAATACTCTGAAACAAACACCTAAAAACATGTCTTATTTCTTCTTGAAATTTAGAAAAGTAAGGGAAAGAGAGATTTTTACAGCTCTTTGTCGGATTTGCTGCTATTGTACATTATAACAGTACACGCATTTCCGAGGACTAGAGCTTCAAATCTCTCCCTCCAGAAAGAGACTCCAGCAAAAAAGCTTGATAAAAAATGGTGATTTAAATCGGAGACAAACACAGTACTAAAAAGTAAGCAATAGAAAACAGAACTGGTTTATTTATTCGATGTATAAAACAATGAAATTCATATTTATCAGCTGCTGTACGTAGAACTGAGGAAATAAGCTAGCAAGTTACGTATAGTGTTCATCGCAAAATTTGACAGATCCTTATTAAATAGAAGTCTTCTGCACAAACACACGGACTTCGAATAACTTTCTTCATTGACACTGGTAAAAAAAGGAATGGGTCTGTCCTGACGTAACTCAACTCTAGCATTGAATTTTAGTTAAAACTGAGTTCCTTTTATAGAAGCGAAACATAAAATTTTTTGCGTATATGAAAAAGGGCGTATCAGACAAAATTAACCGGTCTACCCGATTTAATTACTATAGATTAAATTACTTCACCTAATATTCTTTCTGAAGGACGTATTGATTAGTGTATTCTTGTTGGACTATTTTTGGATATAAATACCAATTTAATGGGACAAATGGCACAAGATTGCGAGATGTTTCGATGGCTGACATGAATCGGTGCCCAGTTTTTTTTGTATGTGTGTCTAGTTATATAACGTAATCTTCTGTCACATTACGTCTGTTAACATCGTGTTATAATTACCATTTCCGAGTTTCTCAAGTTCCAACTAACTGTGAATGTACCTTCTTGTCTGTTACAAGTTGTTACGTCCACTTGTTATACCTTGAGGGAAAATTTCAAATTCCAAAGAAATTCAAAAATTAAGAAAAAAAAAGAAATTCATAAAAATTACGATCAACGTATTTAACATTCCCAATATTAAAGAATACCTATGACAATTCCCACATCATACCTAACAATAAAATGCAACTCACGAACAAGAGGCATCAATACTAGATCTACAATGACGTCATTCGAGCGTATTCGTCTGTATTGACATTTTAAGTTTGACTTATTTCCGTCATCTATATATACATGTAGGAAGGAGTATTTTAAACCCACGTTTTCCTATGATAAATGATGGGTAACCATATATATGAATACGCAGGTTTTGTCTTTAAGCATCGCATAGATACCGACCTTTCATACAAATTAATTTTTCAAATGGTCTGGCATTTAATGATTATATTTTACTGATAGGAACAAAATCAGCTTCAACAGCGAGAATTGTTTTTAATTGTTATTATCTTTACAAATAAGCCGATTACCCGTGACTATAAGGATGGATGATATATTTCGAAGACGTCTTACTATATTTAAAAAAATGTTAAAATTTAGAAAATGTAGATTCAATTAAATATAAAAATATAAAAGACGAGTCCAATCACTATCGATAAAATATATTCCTCGTTGATAAGAATTAAATCGATTTTCATTTATGTGGTCCCAACAAAAGTATAATTATGTGCAACCTGGTGCAAGACATAAATCGATTTGCATAATCTATGTTCAGGTTAAAGGTTGCAAAAAGAGATATTCGTTAATGAAATCAATGCGTTCACTTTGAAAAAATCGTCTGCTATAATATCGCATCCATAGCTGATCTCACATGTTTGTATTTGTTTTCCATAAAGTTATTGAACTTGCTTAAAAACTATATTTACGATAAATACCATATAATTTTATAAAATCAATGATCAGGAACATATGCTCATTCAAATACCTGATCATCGCTTGTATATCAAGTAGCGTGTTGTAATTATGTATTATTGCGAGCTCATGAATATTAATAAGGCCTGTATTTATAGCACAGCTAACCACGACATTCACCAAGACAAACATACGGGGAGGGAATACGTCCCTCAACATAGGACTGTGATAACGCTAAACAAATGTATAAACTCGTATATCTTTTTGTAATTCAATCTGGATAATTTATTTCCTAGAAGGTAAGTTTTTTCCATTTAAAAGAATTTTTATTCACCTGGAAGTATATCGCATGTAACATTTTCCTGAAAAATATCCATATGGTAAGATAGAGGTAATCAAATGTTGTCAGTTCACGGGCAGTGGTCAGTTTTACAGGGCTCTTACAGTTTATTTTGTCTGACTTGTTGACTTCGGAATGATCAGAGTAAGTAACACATACTGTTATGGATTTCTGTACATTCTTTGCTTGTTTACTGTTTGGATCATCATCCCTTGCAAGTTTGAAGGTGAAACACTGTTTTGCGTCATAAGCCTATTTTTACCCCAGCATTATCTTTGCAATATGTGTTTTGGTATTCAATAACTTCTGATAACACGCATTAGAGGATTGAACAAATGTGAAAGGTTTGGAGAATAAAACCAAACCCCACTTAACTGCACTGTCTCTATTCCGCAATAAATTTATACATTACATTTATATAGTGACTGCGCTGCCTGGTGCCCGATAAATAGGGGGTAATTTTACGATAACTTATCTCGCATCTCAAAACGGAGCTTACGCCAAGGTTAGTGAAAGTTTATTTCTACAACATTTTTAATATATGATATACATATTCAATTGTAACTCAGGCGAAAAAAAAAACTTGACAGCTAGGTGTTACAATTATAAAACATTTTTTTAAATATCGAATTTGACATTTCCCCCTCAAACGTCATGTAGAGTCACGTGCTCGGTAACTTTTGATGAACTTGGACAAACACTTTAGTAGGACTCATCAATATGTTACTATCTTCTGCTTCCTATCCCACCGTGACGTCAATACAACGCTAATCTAGGAATTCCTTTTGATACAGTGTGTTGTTTTGTCACGAAAATGCATTGAGATATTTACGTAGAAATAATACTCATTCTTATGATCTGCCTCAGTAGCATTTAAATATAACTGCTTTCTCCTCTGCGGGGGAAACAAATATCCCGAACATTTGATACAAATGTAAACAAGGCACTGAGCGAACAATGCAACAAGATGCTTGAAATTTCTCTTTCTTCACGGCCAATCAAAATGCCGGTCCCTTTCAAAATGACAGCAATTCTGCGGCTTCTGGTATTAGTATTATTTTATTTACCAATCTATCCAAACATCACACATAGGAATTCTGTATAGTGCATGTAACGTTCGCTATGAAGGTTACCTCTGTTTCTGGGGGGAGAAGGGAAAAAAGAAAAGTAGAAAAGTCTAGGTATCGACTTGAACATATAGATCTGTATAGATATAACAGCTGTGTCGTGTAAGACACATTGTGAATTATTGATTCATCATACAATCGTGTTAGACTACCATGAATATAGCATTACTTATTTTACTTTCAGCATTATTCAGATTCGCAGGGCGAAAGACACCACAAACACTCTTTGAAGATCGAAAGCTGAGTATAGATTTACAAATCAAACACGATTAAACACAGGACACAATGCACGTGGAAGTTTCAGTTGCCCTTAACTTTGTCATATCGTACTTGTATAACAAACTACCACGACGACGGGTTGATATGCTTGCAGAGGAGTTAGAGAGAGGACTGAAGAGAAAGTTTCAAGGTCACTGGTATCCCGACAAACCATTTAAAGGATCTGGCTTTAGATGTGTTCGAATGAACGGCGAGAAAGTCGATCCCGTGTTTATCCACGCCGCAAGTGAGTGCGGTTTGTCCTTGGAGGAAGTCAAATCCTATCTTCCGGAGGAACTTACCGTTTGGATTGACCCTGCAGAAGTATCATATCGTATCGGAGAAAAAGGACAAATAAAAATTCTGTTTAGTGATAGAAAAGACGAGAGTACAGAAACAGCTGATCGCGAAATCCAGGCCGCAGGCCGTGCATTCAATCCTGATGCACAATGTTTCAAACCTATCGACAACCTGTCGGCTTCACTGAACAATATTTGTCTGTCACCTGTTCTCTTATCGCCGTCATCGCCGACGTCATCAAAAGGATGGTCAGCCAGCGCTTCTACGTCGCCATCCAGCTCACTGTTCAACTCCACTCTATCCAGACCCGCACCGCCAGCTACACTGGTGTCAAAAGATAACCCCGTTACTCAATTTACAGCAGCTTCATTTGCACAGACAAAGTTTGGATCTACAAAGCTGAAAACTAACGCCAAAAGACCTACGCGTCTTTCACCAACAGAACTTGGGAACTTCTTCCGCCAGCGGTCTTCGGTACTTCATCCTCCTAATCCAAACGGTTATTGTTCTCCACAGAGACCACGTTCCTTGTCTCCAAGAGATCCACGCCTCGAATTCTACATGGATCAGAAAAACCGGGTTTTTCTTTCTCAACAACAGCTCCATCATCAGCAACTCCAGCAGATACAGCCGCAACATCTGCTGCACTCACCTCAGCACGGCAGCAGTCCGTCCTCTCCAATCAGTGAAAACGGAATGGTCCGGTCACCGATGTCCAGTCATGGCTACGTCCCTGGTCATCTGAACGACTTCATGTCAGCCTCGTCTCCGCTGACATCTCCCGCCAATTCCGTGGCTGTGTCACCCGACTCGGACAAGTCGTTCATGGATGGAATAAATTTGAATAACATTTCATATACGGCACAGTATCCTCACATGTTGTTGGCCAATTAGGATTTGGGTAACATAGCTAGAATGAAAGACGACGACACTTGACGTGTTTAATCGTAGAGGTTTAGCAGAGATTCTTTACATTTTCTAGGATCTGTTGTTGTGAAATCTCCCTAAGGGGAAGACAGCATGTCCCTAACACGATATTCACGGTTGTTGCTGGGTTTGGTACATGCTGCCATAAGTGACCATGTCACTTAGTATTTATATTTATATTTATATTGACATATTTTGGAGGGCATCAATTATCGTATTAAAGTCCCAAAGTAGAGTGGTACGTTTACATTCTACAAATGAGTAGTGGAGATTTGTTTTTTATTTAACTAGATATTCCACATATTATATCATATGTTATATAGCTAAGCAGTTAAATTATTTTTATATTAGTTATAATTTTTTCAAGACGTTCGTACAAAAGATTATATATATTCGTACACTTTTTATGATGGTCTATATGTATATATACAGATGGGAATTAGGTTTTCTATGGAGTATCGAGTATCATTTTGATAGAGCCTATTTATACACACCATGTTCATTATTTGCTGTTGTTGGCCTCTAGGACAGGTGTATTAGCCACTGGTCATCATAACTGCTGTCACGTTTTAATTAACAAAATTTGATTATGCTCCAATGAACACTCTCATACCTTGGTTTCTTTGTATTTTATCTTTAAGGAAGCTCTATACATTGCACACTAAAGAGTTTTATTTGTAGGGTAGTTTTATGTCATTAGAGTGATATGAATTTATCTATGATTAAAGTATTCTTAACATTATATTAGACTTAGAATTATGTATCTGAATTCATTACTACCAATCATATGTTTTCTCTTTACAAATAGTCCATTAATTGTCTCTGAACATTTTTACTGCGGAAAAAAAGACAGGTACCCTTTATTGAAAAATGAACTGAATAATTTCAATATGCAAACCTCAATATGACAAAGTTTTCTCCAAGTAAAAAATAAAAACAATTCTTGTTAGTGTTTAGAACTTCCTTAAGAAGAATTTGCAGCTTTTAGTTAAATGTCAAACAGTTTTCTAAATTTGAATTTTAGCAATTAAAATTTTATATTAAAATATCAAGAGTTCATATAAGATTTTAACCTTAATGAGACAAATGACTGTGGTGAGCAGTGTAAATGTGTTCATATTTAGCCATTATTCTCCCTTCTAAAAGCGCTATAAAACTGCTTCTTTTTTTATTCATTTTTATTTGAAAGCAATAACTCCCAAGTTTACCTCCTGTTCCTAGCTGGGAATCCGTCCTGTTGATAACTTTTGACCAGTGGGTCCCCATGCCAAAATAGCACCTGTCTCTCTGGGCCAGTTTAAGGTGTATGTGATCATACGTTGTGCAATAATCGTTCATTTCCATGGCCTTGTGTGTTTGAGAACTGTATTGTTTATATTGCTACATATTTTTAAGTTTGTAATAAAAATTGGTATTTTTAAACCTTGTGTTTTCGTTATCTGTTTTAATTTTCACAATTTTGCCGTCATAGATTAATCCTTCCACTCCTAGGATTGTATTGTTCATATTAATACAAGAGATAATAATAGTAAAACATCATTATCGATTACAGAATGACGTGTGACAATGATGACTATTAAATTTCAGAGACCCTTGTACATGTACAAGTCTCTGCTCAAAAAGTTGCAAAGCATGAATGAAAAGACCATGTGTAATAACGAAAAATCAAATCAAGAAAACATTTACATAAAAAAGACGTTAATTGATTACTTTCAATCCTAGATTGTGCCATAACTACACGGAATTACCGGCTATATACATAATCGCTTTTCATTATTCAACTAGGGATCGGTGCGAGCACGGCCTCGGGCTCGACCTTCTGTCACAGTCACAGGCCGGGCCTGCCCGCAAAATCTGTCCTCATCTACCTTTTATAAATATGACAGTCACTTATTATTTAATTATTAATTATTGGTAATATATTAATTCAGCTGTTTTTTTAAAATATATAATAATGATAATGTAATCTTAAAGGGGTCGAGAGTAATGGTATCGAACACAATCTTGACTGAGTACTTTTCAAGGAAACACGTCCGCCTCTTTATTGAACTTGTCCAGGAATGTACTGATTGGACCAATTTTTATAACGATACCCAATTATTACTTACTTATCACAGTACAGTATAGTAATGAGCAGATTAACGGACGAAGCTGTGAACTAGCTATTATCTGGGATCGACCCAAAATTCAAAATTTAATGCAGAGGACTAAGCAATATTAAAACCATAAGAGGTCAATATAGCAAGTTACACTTGTTTGAATCGACATAGGTCATTGTGGAATGCTTTTGCTATCAATTTAAACGCCTGTCTTTTACACCCACACTTACCACTGGTAAAACAGATACATGTATTTATATGTCAATAGTCGATCATTAAAAGACACAAACTACTAGGAAAGTAGAAATATGTTCATAGGACACGTATACATGGGAACATAAAAATAATTTAAAATGTCTGGTTTATCAGTTAGAATGGTCAATTTGAAAATAACGAAAAGTGATCAATCTAGAAACATCTTTAAAAAAAATTACATGCAAATATGTAAAAAGGGCATAAAACAGGACCCCTTGAAATTCCAGAGGTGGAATCAGGTGCCTATAGAGGAGTAAACATCCCCTGATGACTGTTTACGCCCGCCGTGATCGAGCCTAGGAACTGCGTGATCAGGTTAACGGAACATTCCGTAGTCTAACCCAGTAGTAGGTTGTATTTGCCTATCATAATATAATATCATAGCGCAGAAATTATGAAACTCCGACTTGTTAGTATATACATGTTTGTCGTATTTTAGCTAAAAATATATAACTACGAGATTGAGTGTTGATGTCCATGATATAATATGTTATTTATGTCAGACAATAATATTTTTGAAACGCGACCGATTTATAATTCGAATTTACAGAAAAGTAATATCTTTACATAAATTAGTAAAACAAATAGATATTTTAAATTCATAGTTATTTGAACTTATCCAAAAATACGTCATAAATGACTTTAAACGAGGAGGTTGAAATCCCTGTAACATCAACTTATCTCTCAGTGACCTGCCTCGCATTAAAAAAAAAAAAAGATCGATATTCAGAGCAAGCTCTTGAGTACCGAATACCTTGGGAGAGAATTTCATCCATACTTACTTAAGACAATGTTTGATAACAAATCCAAAATATTTAGGTATAGTAAAAAAAATTTCAAAAGGAGATCGTGACAAAATTTTTGGTTGATGTATTCCTGATAAATTTAAAAAAAAAATAGGCTTCAAATTTTCCAAAATATTTATCAACAACGAATTGAAAATGGATACATAAAAATTCAAAAAGAGGCCAGACCTTATTTCTAAATTTGTCCAAAATAATTAACTAAAATGTTTTGAAAATTATTAGCCATAAAATCAACTGACAATTTCATGCTTTTAGACACACATTTATAGCTTAAAAACTACAAAGATTTGATTAAAAACAATGCATCAAAATTTTAAAAAAATTAGGCATCACTTGACATATTTTTATTAGTTTATATCGTACATAAAGTTTGATTAAAAATATAAGACGTGCAAAATTATCAAATAGAGTTAAATTTTTAATTGAAAATTTCTTGAAACTCTGAAGAACTGTTTTTAGAAAATTTTGAAGATTCAATAAATTTCTTTAGTATCAAAAATAATTAATAATATATTTTGAAAATTATTAGAAATAAAATGAAAAGCAGACAAGTAGGTTACATTACTTCTCTGTTTTTGGTTTGACACATGTTCAGTAAATCCATAATGAGAACAAGATGTTTGTGAAATACAGATGCCCCCGTATGGGCAGCTATGGCAGGGGTTGACATTTCTTAAGGTAGTCCGATCCTCAGATTTATAAAATTAGCAGTTAAGAAATCAAAAATACTCATAAAAGTATCTCTGAATCCACAAAGTTAAGTAAAGAACGAGGGCGCTTTTGATTGGCATTCGGCAGGAATCTGGGCGTAATTGAAAAGTGAAAATTTTATTGACATGTCACATGAAATTTTAACATTTTTTTAATTTATTCCTGAACAAAAGGAAAATATAAATTAAGCTTTGGTTTGCTAAAAAATTATGAAAATTGGCCAAATAGACATTTTAAATTTTAATTTTTAAAATTTCTTGAATTTTTGAAGAACTGTTTCTCTATGATTTTTAAAATTGTGTGTATTTTAATTCAAAGAAACGAATACACTTTTTTCTGGAGAGTACCAAGTACATGCATGAAGTTTAATGAAAATATTTTGAAGTTCCTTTGTCCTTTTAAAATCGTCTTTATTTGTATAGCGGTGATAGCTCAGTAAGTTGGGCTATATGTTTAGTACACTCGAAGCGGAAAATTTTTGGTTCGAGCCTGGTATGGTGCGTTATTTATTTTTCATGCAAACAACCATTTATTTTGTCTGTTTCGTTTTATGTACTGATGTATTAAAATTTTGAATTAGATAAATTTTTGTTCAGTTTGCTTCTCGAGCAAAATCAATTTTAATCTCCTAATCTATAATGTATATGAACACGTATTATGCATCTATGCATTAAATATTTTAGGTGTTTATTTTTTGTGAAACATTACTAATGTTATTGTAAAGGAAAAACGGACATAAATGTTAAAATTTCTCACAAGGTCTTTCAAACTAAATGAAAAAAACTTGGAGTGTTTGGAAAATCTGACCAGCTATGTTCAGCCAACCAAATATGGACATACCATAAATGTTTTACATCTGAAAGCAAATGGTATTAACAGTATTTCTTTAAAGTTAAAAAGCATATTATATGGTCAGTTTAATTTTTTTAAGTGATTGGAATATCAACAATGCAATTTTTAAAGTAAATTGATCAACAAATATATTGTTGGTATCCAGGCATTCAGAGAAATTGTCATTATTTTCATACTTATTTGGTAATACATTTCCATAATGTATTCAATAATACATAGTGTAAAAAGCTTTTGCTATCATTGCAAGACACCACAAATCACTTCTTATTTCATATCATGCTAATAAGCATTGGTGTATATAAGGCTGGATTCAAGAAAAAAAATTTTCTCTAAAACTGTATTATTTTTTTTCCTTTTAACGTCAATTTTTTTATAATACCCAACTTCCAAAAACCTTGAATCTTATCAAGATAAATAAAATGAAAATTGTTGCATGAAAAAATTTCATTTTCAAGCTTCATTTTGATGGATTTCAAATAAAATATTAATTTTTGGAGTTATCCTTCCTGGCTGAGGATCGGATATCCTTAAATGCAAGTTAAACTCCAGGTCAAGGTTAAATAGTTTGTACCCAATGGAAGGTCTTCTCCCAAGGTATATACCTGTGACATATGAAAGCTGGTATTAACGGTTCAAAAGTTATGGTTAGTTTAAATTTTTTTTAAGTGGGTCAAACTCTAAGGTCAAGGTCAAAATTGTTGGTATCCAAAGGAAGGTCTTGTCACAATGAATATACCTGTGAAATATGATAGCCGTAGGAATAGCAGTTCAAAAGTTATGGTCAAGGTTAGTTTTTTTTTTTAAAGTGAGCAAAACTGTAAGGTAAACGTCAATTTTTTTTTTTAAATACCCAATTAAAGATCTTGTCACAGTGAATACACATGTGAAGTTTAAAAGTCCTACCAGCAGCAATCCAAAGGTATGGTATGGTTCGGATTTTTTTTTGTAAAAGTAGGTCCAACTCCAAAGTCAAGAGGTCTCAAATTTGGTGGTAGCAAAAGAAAAGTCTTGTCACAAGGAATAAACCTGTGAATGATGAAAACCATATCCCATTCAAAAGTTATGGACAAGTTTTTGAGGACTAACAGACGGACGGACAGGACAAAACTCTATACATGTACTAACGAATCTTTGATTATGGGGGCATAAAAACTGACGTCAAGGTGTTGGGATTTAAGGTCAAAATGAAATGGTTAATTTGGTCTTACCAGTTTTATTACATGTACGCGAGGTTCGAATATATTTTTCGTCAACCTTAGCTACATTAGCTAAGTGACCTTAGGTCACAATGAAGAATCTACGTCTGAAAATAGTGATATGGTTGAATAGCTCTCGCTGTTTGAAGTTTGATGAAAATATCTTGAATATTTTTTTAAAGTCATAGGGAAGCTTGGACAAGGTCAGATCATAAAGACTTTCATCAGTGTGTATAAGTGTATCAACTTTGGTAAAAATATACGCTACGAATGACGGACGCGAGGACAAATAGACATGACAATACTACCATTATATGCTTATGATACAATCTTCACGACGGGACATAAAACATCATTATAGTTATTGACTGGGTACAAGGGCAACATATGATTTGATGGACCTGAAGGTGAAAATGTTGCCCGAGGCCGCAGGCATTTTCACCTTCAGCTCCAACAAATCTGTTCAAATGTTTTCAATTCAGTGTTTCATCTGAAGTGAAGGGTATAACAAAATAGCTCTAGACTAGAATTCGGGCATAATATAATTTGTTGGACCTGAAGCTGAAAATGTTACCCTTGGTCTGCGGTCTCGGGCAACATTTTCACCTTTAGGTACAACAAGTCATATGTTGCCCTCACACCCAGTCATATGGGGTCTTATTTTCTAACACCGACCTGGTATCGCAGGATTTAAGCTAGATGTTTATTATATTCATTCATTGGAGAGGCTGTCTACGTACTTACAAAATTATGCTAATGAGAAATTATCTCATTACATCGAGAACAGAAATTGATATAACAGTATTATTATGAGAGAACTCTTTTAAGGAAATAATCTTGGTCTAGACGTGTTGATATATTCACGCGATAAACAAATAGAGATATAGTACTATTTTTTATTCATATACAACGTTTATCGACAATGCTTTGGGTAAAATATATTTGGTTGTTTGTTCGAATGTAAAGGACTTGAATGAAACTTGAATGAACATTAGCGGTCGAAATTAATCGTCCTCTCTTCCCATGGACACGACAGTCATACACGTGACCACTACAATTACGAAAACAAAGGGATTAACAAAGTCACGATATTTGTCCAGAAATGAATATTAGCTAGTTAAAGAAGTGATGACGTCATTAAGTTAAGGTCTATGGTATCGGTTTGCTGACAGTGAAACCTCCAGATCTTAGCCGGGGGAAGTATCGTTTTATACGTGATTTTGTCGTTTAGCAGGTGTATTGCTTTAGTGTCGTGTGGTTTCATTAAACCATTCCATTCTCCGCCAACTGCAAATAAGCTTCCCTCTGTTTTCTCTCAGCACGCAACCGGATATCGTCTGATCCAAAGGCAATACCCGGAACTTGTAGAGAAAATGATTAAATATTAACTTGCTGGTACTTCGGCAGATTTTTTTTACGTGCCCTTAACCAATGATTAATACAAGTCTTATTCCACAATATACATACTTGTCAAGGAAATCTTTTCAGTAACCTATCAAAATTAATTCTCTTCGACAAATGCCGTATTTTTCTTTTTTCGACAATACTTTGTGCTTGAGGCCCTACTGAGATTTGACAAATTGAAACAAGAACTGAGGCTGTTAACGTGACAGTTTTAATCTTGTCAATAACAGTAAACTACTGCTGCATCTAACCAATAATCAACGGAGCCATTCCCAACTAGTGTCCGCTATAAAAGGGACAATGACGTCAATAGGATACCATTCCATAAAATGTTTATAAGACAAAAATACGGACACAGAAATAGATTTTTCCCGGATTGCACGAATCGTCCTTTTAACGCTTAATCAATGAAGACCAAGACTGCCGAGTGAGCAGTCACTTACAGCGATTTGATTTCACGTCTTTTAGAGATAACATTTCTTAGAAAGACACCAAAATTGTCCTTCACTGCCAATTCACCATTAAAACGTAAAAAAAAAACCCAGCAACATAAGGTCCCGTAAAATAAAGTGACAGGCAGGTTCCCGACCGACTTGGACAGAAAACAGCGGAAAGACCCATCAATATCTACATGCCCCAAAAATCTCGTCATGTTGGCTTCAAATTGGTTTTTCTCCTCGACTTCCTGTTTATCCAGGCAGCGAGGCTTATAGAAGTTGATGGTGATTTAGATGTTCTGCTTTAATATCCTGTCCTCCCGAACCACTGATTGATAAAATCGCAGTAACAGATTACAACAGGAAGTCGTCAACAGCTGACACCGTGCATCAGTTGACTATCTACCTAGGATAGGTCACCTGTTATACCACTGTTTGACAAATCCATTTGTGTTGTTTAATAGTGATAATTATTCTCTCCTCTAATTACTCTCTTTGTTACCAGATTTTTTTTGCAGTACCAAGTTAATAAATCAATGCAGAACAGCATGCACAGAGAAAAAGCTCTTTTTTGTCTTACTAGCCTTAATTAATAATTTTACACCTGCATTGACATTAATAATGCTTTACCTATGTGTTATCTACGCATATTGTATATTGTATATACATACATTGAACAGGTTCTCAAAGAGAGACAACTCTTGAACTAGAAAATCTTTTCTCTCAATTAAAAATTTATTGCATTCTTAGATAGGTATATATAATAAGTTACTTTTATAATTTATATTGTTTATATTGACGTATCTTCAATAGAAGTCCTCCACTTCCTCTTTTTCAGCCTTTTGTTGATTCTGAATCTGCTGCTGATTGTTATAAAGTTCTGCCACCTGAGGAAAAAATACATTTTTCTTTTATACTGTTTGAATTATATTTTAGTTTTGATATTGTCACAAAGTGCTTAGCAGGTCCTTTTAAACTGCATTAAAGTAGCCTGTTATCTACCAAATCCATTACACAGATTTACAAAAGTATTTCAAACAATACCAGTATAAGACATTAGATCTAAATTGGGTAAAACGGAAAATAGAAACTAAACTTTTCCACTGTGAATAATCTTCCATTGACAATCATTGTTATGACCTTGAAGTCATGCAACAGAAATATTGATTTTCTGAACTAGAACTAAATGTCCATTATATTAAGGAAGCTTATAAAAGCATTAACATGTAGCTTGGTTCTATTAAAGAAGTTTTTAGCATACTTCATCCTCACTCTTTATGACTGTTCCTTTTCTGTGACAGGACCTAATTTTATACTGACCAGTGAAGCTGAGGTGGCATCCTCTTTCACAGGACCTAATTTTATACTGACCTGTGAAGCTGAGGTGGTGTCTTCAGTGACAGGACCTAATTTTATACTGACCTGTCATGCTGAGGTGGCATCCTCTGTAACAGGACCTAATTTTATACTGACCTGTGAAGCTGAGGTGGCATCCTCTGTGACAGGACCTAATATTTTACTGACCTGTGAAGCTGAGGTGGCATCCTCTGTGACAGGACCTAATTTTATACTGACCTGCGAAGCTGAGGTGCCGTCCTCTGGGATTGGACCTAATTTTACACTATCCTTTTATTGCTGAGGTGCCATCCTCTTTCACAGGACCTAATTTTATACTGACCAGTGACATTGATGTGGGGTCCTCAGTGACATGACCTAATGTTATACTGACCTGTGAAACTGAGGTGGCATCCATGTGACAGGACCTGATTTTATACCGACCTGATACACTGAGGTGGCATCCTATGTGACAGGACCTAATTTTATACTGACCTGTGAAGCTGAGGTGGCATCCTATGTGACAGGACCTGATTTTATACTGACATGTGACACTGAGGTGGCATCCTCTGTGACAGGACCTAATTTTATACTGACCTGATACACTGAGGTGGCATCCTATGTGACAGGACCTGATTTTATACTGACCTGATACACTGAGGTGGCATCCTCTGTGACAGGACCTAATTTTATACTGACCTGATACATTGAGGTGGCATCCTCTGTGACAGGACCTAATTTTATACTGACCTGATACATTGAGGTGGCATCCTCTGTGACAGGACCTAATTTTATACTGACCTGATACATTGAGGTGGCATCCTCTGTGGCAGAACCTAATTTTATACTGACCTGTTACACTGAGGTGGCATCCTCTGTGACAGGACCTAATTTTATACTGACCTGTTACTCTGAGGTGGCATCCTCTGTGACAGGACCTAATTTTATACTGTCCTAAGAAGCTGAGGTGGCATGCTCTGTAAGAGAACCTAATTTTATACTGACCTCTGATGCTGAGGTGGCGTCCTCTGTGACAGGACCTAATTTTATACTGACCTGTGATGCTGAGGTGGCGTCCTCTGTGACAGGACCTAATTTTATACTGACCTGTGAAGCTGAGGTGGCGTCCTCTGGTTTTTTGTCATCCCTGATTCGCAGAAATCGGGGGAATCTGAGAGATATACCCTTCTCTGGATCAACCTAAAATCATAGTCACTTACTGAGACAGTTTCTTTGTTAATACCAGATACCTTGCTTAGTAAAATAATTTTGATATTATCATAAAAGTCACAAGGACATATTCTAACACTTGTACCAAGCTTGACCTGTTTTTATTTGAGCTGTTACAGCAAACTTATAAGTCAAACAAAACTTATTCACAGCCAGTTCTTACTACCTTGAGTAAGTATTACTGGTGCCAATTTTAATGAGTAAATTTCTTCATTTTCATCATTCCTTGTTTTTCTTACAAAGACAATGAAGCGAACAATGTCATAACTTTTTAAAAAAAAACAAAAACAAAATCAGTGTCTGCTTTTAGAGAGAGAGAGAATTGACTGCTCTGAAGTACAACTTACGATTCCTGCTGCTGCTTTATGAGTGGGTGAAATAGAGAGATCGGCACACTTGACTTCCCACACCTGCACCGCATCAAACCAGTGATCCGGTTCTACGGAAGAGTCATACCGGTAATACGGTTTGGGTTTCTCCACCACATGCTCCTTAAAGAATGAGGCATGCTTCTCCAAGTCTGTATCGGTGAACCCTGTCCCAATCTGTCAAGAAACCAAACTGTATACAGTAAAACTCGGTTATAACGAAGTCACAAGGACCTATGAAATTACTTCACTATATCCGTAATTCGCTATATCCATATAAGGATTCGTTAAATTCATATATACTTGGGGATCCAATATAACTTCGATATCTATCACCAATAAACAAGACAACACAGCATTTAAAAATTTCGTTCCGATAAAATCGTCTGAAGCGTCCGGATATCTGAAGGTCCACTGTACTTGGGGATCCAATATAACTTCGCTATATCCGTATTAAAATTCGCAATATCCGTGTTCGCACTAAATGATATTTACTGTATAATGCATGAGAAAGAGGTTTTCACTTTGTTGATACTTACATGCTTGGTTTACTTAAGGTATACCAATTTATACTACAAGGAACATTCTATAAGTAAATTTCTGCTTGTGTGCGAATTCTTTTGATTATATACTCTGTGAAACTTTTAACCAACACTTAAATAAACTTCACAAGCAAGTAGAAATGTGGAGAATTTTACACTTAGTAAAGAGAAAGTACCAATTTTTGCCAATACATGTGTTTGTGTTGCTTGATATTTGTCTCAATACAAGGTAACCAACATACTTTACAGATAGACTGGAACTCTTCATTTTCCTCGTCGTAACACCCTAGAAGGAATCCCCCATATCGGCCAGTCCTCTTTCCTGTCCCCAGGAATCCCCCCATCACTACCAGGTCCAGGGTGTCCCCCACACCGTCCAGGTAGTCCTTCTTCAGCTGAATGAGAAAAAAAAGACAGGTAGAAAATACAATGCAATGCATTAATTCAGATAAAGGGTGTTTCATTTAAATACATCCTAATTCATAATAAAATGGTTACAGATTAAAACCAAGAAAATTATCAAAATGTTTCACCAAAAAAAAAAAAGAAGCGTATTTACTGTTTTAATGCAACTTTTTTCGCTTAATCATTAAAATTAAACAAAATTAAGATATTATAGGTCTAAAAATTGAATTAGAATTTGATATAACTGACAAATTGATAGGTAGGACTTGAAAGTGAAGAAAAAGTAATAAACATACACTATTGAAATTTAAAACATAAAAATTTGATAATATCTTCAATATTTTTATTTTGTTTTCATGTGAATCCATTGTGCACGTCATATTTTGTAATACTATATAAAAATAGAAAAATTTGCTATTTTTTTGCATTTTGAGATGCCCCCTCTGGTAACAAGACGGTAGAATTTTGTGTTCCTTACATATATTGTATGATATAGTATTACTTATCAAATATTATAGTTTGTGTTATTGTAGTATTTGTATAATTTGCTTTAAAATCTAAAAATTGGCATTTTCCTATATAATCCTATAGTAAATGTATCTGTATTTTCAAAATTTCACAAACTTTGCATGTACACTGAAAATTAAGTTATAACAAAAATGAAGAATTGTAGTTTTCACACAATAAAACTATAGTCGGCCCCCTTAAGTGTTTGTTAAAATCTTTAAAATTTCACACACTGTAAAGAAAATTTTATAACTAACGATTGCCTCTTGCCTGGCAGCAGAATTTTGCCAATGCCTCTCATAACATTGGGCCTTTGGTTTTTTAAGGTCTCACCCAAAAGCTTTGAGATTTGAAATTGAAAGCCCAAGTCAAGATAAACACACAAGAAATACAATTTTCAAATACATGTAGGTATATATGTAGGTAAGTGATACCTTGAGCCAGTTGTGAGATCTCTTGGCAATTTCATAGGTAGCATCCACATCTAAAGTCTTCACCATCAGTCCTTCACAGTTTCCTGAATTTTTTTAGTTTAAGTATATTGGTACCACCGATTATGACTATATGCTATGCAATTTATTAAAGATATCAGCCATGATAATTATGCAATTAATAGAAGAAATTTCTTTCTGAAAACATTTCTTTAATTTCAGAAACACTCATGATAATACACAAACCATGTATATATATAATGGATTCTTGGTATCAAATTAAATTACATTTATGAGAAATTCTGCGATGGTGTTGCTATCGTGTGTTGTCACAATGAGGATAAATCATTGAATATCCATTTGGCAAACATGAACTCTCCGTTTATTTTCAAAATCGACCTCAGAGAACGTGATGTTTATCTTTTAGATTTTAATGTTTATTCAATAAATAAAGCTCAATATTCATTTATAAATGTTGTTTTATTTTCCATTATATAATTATTAAATGAAATGGCTCCTTCACCAGAGACTAAAATTGCCTAAAAATTCAGATAAAGCAGATCAAAGGCATACACACATACCTGAATCTTTATCTCAGAAGCATCAGCATCAATTATGCAATTAATGAAAATCAAGCTGAAAACACTTAATGATCATGATAATACACACACCTTTAATGGATTCGTCCAGAAATTCCACAAAAATTGGCAACTTTTCCTCAGAGAAGGAGGTGTGTATTATTTTCAAAAAAATTCATCCAAAGGGTACACACACACCTGAATCTTTATTTCAGAAGCGTCAGCATCCTGAAAATCAAGCAGAATTTAAGAACTACCAAAACAATTACTATTTTTTCCAGCAAAATTATTTTAAAAAAATTCATCCAAGGCCCACTATAATATCTATAACAATTTTTTTCATTCTGCTGATTTAAGAGTATGTTAAGAATGACCTTTCTTTTCCTGTGACTGAGAACTTGGAATGGCTGGATCTGTTTTTTCTCCGCATCCCAGGCCACAGCCTCTGAGTCAAGGACACAGGACTCCACTGAGTCATTCTTGACCTTTGGTATCCGTGCAATGATGTCTGGGTATTTACTTGTATTATCCTCTGAGTTTCTGCTGTATATGTGAACTTCTCCATTCTCCAGAATGTGGATCTACAAGTATGGTAAAATGAATGAGATTTAAGGATTAAGACAAAGAAATACATTGTAGCTATCCACCTGTATTCATGTCTTTTATAAAGTCTTCTTATTTCAAAATATAATCCCATAATTTTCTCCAAAATATAATTTTTCCCATTCCAAAATATAAGTAATAAACAGCATCTTGTTTTTAGCCCCTAAACCTACATCTTCACAAAACAAAATGCTTGTTTATTAAATGGGAGGGGGAATATGATAAGCTTTAATGTAAGCACTCTACCTGTGCTCTTTCTCCATCATATTTGTATTCACAGGTGAAGTCTGCCTCATCAAATCTCTTGAAGACTTCACTGACTCCTTTTGTAGGGTGTGCTAACATAGGCTTCAGCGGAACTCCTACAAAACAAGAGATAATTGTAAAACACTTATGCCTCCCTCCCCCTGGACATACATTCAAAGAAAATGAATGGAAACTGCAAATAATTGGAATTCTTTTAAGTCTAAGGGACATAAATCTGTCAAAAATTGTTTGATCATACCCAAAACAGAACTTCACCTAGTAGACATTCTTATAAAAAATCTGTATACTAAATTTCATTTCAGTATGCGCAACTGCTGCAAAGAAAATGAATGAAAACTTGTTGGACCAACAAACAGACCTACAGCAGCAAAGCAAAATGCCCTCCCTTCTTCGAAGAGAGTGTGTCTTATATCAGCAGGTGATTTTGTATAGATATAGAATGATTTTACTCTTTACTCATCTCTTCAGTCTTACCTGGGGTAAGTTTACAATGGTTTGGTAAATCCTCTATACCATACTTAATCATGGCTGGAATAATGGCTTCATAATTGGGACATTCACTGCAAGTATGAAAAAGATAGTAAACTGATGAGGAAATAAACTTTATGTAAACAATTCAGAAGAAAACTAAACAGGAATTCTAAATGCTTTTACCAATAAGTTGTTTTGATTATAAGGGCACATTCCTCCATTTTCTTCTTCAGAGCATCAGCACCTAAGCCTTTACCAGCATCTAACACTTCTGGTGGGAAATCTGAAAATCAGGACCACAGAAGTTTGTCAATCCAAAACACAGAAAAGTGTTCATCTAATACACTTGTTATTGTACTGAAGAAAACATTCAAAATGCAGGGTTTCTGTGCTACTTACACATTTTTTTTTTTGCTTTCAATATTCAACAGATTACTTAACATTACTAACCTTGCCCAGGAGGTGTCCTAAATGCAGCATTTCCGAGAGCTGTTAAGACACTCTGTTCTGCTAGACCTATTCTGAGCTTGCCCCCCAGTGACCGGATTAGATATCTAGCCTCACACTGCCGACAGGCTACAAACATTCCCTTGATCTTCTCTATCTTCTTTGTCATGGCCTGTAAAATTTAATGATAAATGCATAATTGCTAACTCACTTGATTTTTTTTTGTTTTGATCCATACTTGATTATTTTTTTAATGACATGGCGGATCATGTATTTCACCTGATCTTCACTGAACAACCCAAAAATCTCCCAATTCCTGGATCTGGCTTGTAAATTAGTTTGCATTTTTGTCAATATTTTTTTTGGCCATAGTGTCATTACCAGTAATGACCAGATTTTTCATTTCAAAAAGGTTCAAGCTTCAAGATACTCTTTTTATAGGCTGATACCGTAAAAAATCCAAGCACTACCTAATTATGTACTTACAGCATTGCCAGACATGGCCGCTATCTCCTTGAGCTTACTAAACACAGCTGGTACGGTCAGTTTTGGTGGAGCAAACATGGTTCTCTGAGAACTCCGACTCGTCTACAAGAGAAATATCAGTAGACAAAAGAGATATCAGTTACACAATGCCCTGTAAAGTGATTAAGATATACAATATCTGTCAGACTGACTCTTACCTCGGCCACCAAACCTAGATCTCCCTTCTCCTGAGCATCAGCCTTTATCTTGTCCAGGCCTCGACCTGTAAAAAAAATCAAGAAACAACTCTACAAATATACTTGGTTATGTGAAACATAATCTCTCAATTGTCAAATATATTGATATTTAAGAAATGCATTTTTTCATGAAGTAAATGTGACATCATTAAGTAAATGTGACATAGGCAACATATTTCATACAATTTATACTAAATCTTTAATTCAATCATATGATGGGTTAGAACCAAAAATTAAAATTAAATTCCCCATGTATCCCTCATCATGGAAAGTTCCAGTGATTTATCAGTAAAACTTTATAATTTTCAGAAGTATCAGAACAAAAAATAATATTGGACAAACACTGACATCTTGTTCAGACACAGGTACACACACTGAACAACTTACCTGTAGCCTGGGCGATGGCTTTCATCAGGACAGTTTCCCCTAGTCCCAGCTCTAATCCTTCGTACGCCGGGGCTAGCTTGTTCAGACACAGGTACACACACTGGACAAGGTCATCAGAGCTCAGAACAATCACAGAACGCAGAAAGTTACACAAGATCTCTATTGTCTTCAATCTGAAATCGTATAAAGTTTCATTTATAACTATGCAGTAGATACAGTACTCCAATTCTCTTTCATCCCTATTTTAAAATAGTAGAATTCAACACGTTGTTTTTTACTTGTTTAAAATTTATACACCATATTGACAATCTGGATTTTTCGTGGTAAATGCTCTGAGTTAGTGTTTTAAATATTTCCCATGTGGACAGATCAAGTCAGATAACAGCTGGTCACCTGGTCCCAGAAACCTATTTTTAAGGACCTACCTTCCTGAGATGTTTTCTATTGCCTCAAATGTCTTTGCCAGAGCCAGGTAAGGAACTCTATAAAGGGAAAAAATGAGTTAAAGAACATAAATACACATATAGATTGTTCTCTTTTGTTTGTTTGCTTGTTTTTATGTATCTAAAAACTTATAAATACATGCTGCAGTGTAATATTTACTAATCATGCAACATGTCAGCCCTGCAAGATCTATCCATCCAAGGAAATAATTGCCTTTTCAAAAAATATTTCTTTGCATATATGGTAAACCATTTAGTGCCTCTGTTTTGTGCCTTGCAAAAGTTCAATATTTAAAAGATGCCTAGGCTTTTCTTTGACATATAGGACTCTGTCCGCATAACTTTAATCCCAGTTATAGACTGACGAGTTCTATATGTGGCTTGATATGCTTTGCTACCAATACATTCAGTCTATTTCAGACAGATTTATCAATATATAAAAAGTGGAAATTTTAATATATCCATCCAAGTATCCATACAATTCAATTGTTCACCTATGGCAACATTTTTCATGTTTCAGGCAGTCAGACCCATGGTTATTAAAAAACACTGACATGCACATCTGCTATTTTGGTCACTTATTTAAGATATATTAAATACTTGTACATCCGTTCCGTGTTATATAATTTTATGCCTTACTTTTCACCTCGTTTCCATACAGCATCCTCAATGGGATGATAATTTGTTTTGGCTGGATTATATCCGGAATCTTCTTCCTTTTTACCAGATGATAAAGTCTTCACACTGTGTGAATAATCAGAACTTGAGATTAAAAGAAGTTCATTTTTCCATGTAAAGAAGAGGCCCAGGGGCCACATCACCTGAGGAACTGGCTAAGTAATAGCAAATATCAGTTCAGTTTTGAAAAGTTTAAATATAAAAGTGGATTCGGGGGTGGGGGGGGGTGTATTTGAACAAACTTAAATCTACACTTCCTTTGAATGAATAAGACAAATAACAGCTTTGCTGTTTAATAAGATGAAATTTTTTATTGATATAGCCTTTATTTTCCTTTGTTAGGATCCTTTTTAATGGCTCCTCTGCTCTTCTGATTGGTCATGATTTGAACAAATTTAAGTCTACATTACCTTTTTTGATGCTTATATATTCATTATCAATCACAGCTTTGTTGTTCTTGTGGAGAATTTTAACGATTTTTCCCATGTTTTCCTACGTAAAACCTTGATTACCCATTGTGGCCCTACCCATCTAGGGGTAGGGTTCATGATTTGAACAAACTTGAATCTACACTACCAGAGGATGCTTCCATAAAACTATGACCAATCATGGCTTTGCTGTTCTTGGGAAGATTTTTAAAGATTTTCTAATTTCTATGTTAAAATTTAATATCCCATTGTGGCCCTACCCTACTCATGGGGTCATTATTTGAAGAAACTTGAATCTGCACTACAAGAGGATGCTTCTTCATGAGCTTCATCTTTCCTGGCCCAGTGGTTCTTGAGAAGAAGATTTTAAAAGAAAATTTCCATTACTATTCCTATGTAAAACTTTGATACCCCATTGTGGCCACATCCTAGCCCCAGATTTCATGATCTGAAAAAAACTTGAATCTACACTAAATGAGGACACTTCCACATGAGTTTCACCTTTCCTGGCCCAGTGGTTCTTGAGAAGAAGATTTTCAAAGATTTTTCATATGTATTCCTATGTTAATCTTTGATACCCCATTTTGGCCCCACCCTTCCCCCTGGGGTCATAATTTGAACAAACTTGAATCTACACTACCTGAGGATGCTTCTATACAAGTTTCATCTTTCCTGTACAATTGAAGAAGATTTTAAAAATATGCCATTTATTTTTCACTAATTCATAATTATCTCCCCATTGAAGAGGGTGTGACCCTTCTTTAGAACAAACTTGAATCCCCTACACACAAGGCCACTTTGTGGCAAGTTTAGTAGAAACTGACCCACTGGTTCTTGAGAAGAAGATGAAAATGTGAAAAGTTTACAACGACAACGATGACTGACAGCAGACAAATTTCGATCAAAAAAGCTCACTTGAGCCTTTGGCTCAGGTGAGCTAAACATTTCTACAGGTCTTTTTTTGTTCCATTTAATACAAGTGATCCTTTTACTCAGTCATAAATACCCTTTTACTTAGTCAGAATCACAGGGATTAATAATTCTATTTTAAGATCAATATTTGCAAGGAGTTAAAGTAAAGTACATTTTGACAAATACAATTTCTTGTAAGAAAGAGAAAGCAATGGTAAAATGCACAACATTTACACAACAACAGTTTTCACTGTATTTGGCAAAGGGTTATTTTTATCAATGTACATCACAATCAAATGTTCTTCAACAAACAATATCTATGTGATGCTATGAAAGAAATTACACATACATTGACTCCAACAATGACACCTAAAACCTGAAATTGTATGAATGTTTATCTGGATTTCCTATTTAAACAGGTCTGGACATGTTTCAAATCTTAATAAAAATCTTATCTTAATAAATGCACATCAATATGACACAGATTCCCTGTTAATATCTTGTACCATACTAAAATGATTGTTAACAAAAAAAGTCATTAACACCAAAGCTTAACCTCTACAATCCTGTCTTCTATTGTTTAACCAAATGTTATTACGCTCAACTTTATCTAAAAAGAACTTTTCAAAAACTAATTTGTCATGATTTGAAAGATACAAACATCTATTATTAAACAGGGCTCCATTAAGTGCCAAGATGGCCCCTTCTGCCTCGTGTAAATTCTTCACGGTGACAAAGCCGTAACCTTTACACTGATTTCTGATGTGATCCATGACTACATTGACTTTTGTCACAGTTCCACAAGGAGCAAATAACTGCCATAAAGTTTTCTCTTCTGCATCATAACCAATATTGTACACAAAGAGAATATGTCCCCCCATATCTCCACCTGCCATAGCGCTGGAGTACCCCCCACTCATTGGGTTGAATCTCAAGCGTGTATTAGAGCTCCTCATAGTACCATGAGTCCCCCCACTATACCGATTACTGCCGGGTGTTGGGTATCGCAGATTGGGCTGATGGACTTGTATTTGGTAAGGCATATAAGGGGCATGACCCTTCCTGGCATTCATGTCTGTGAACTTGTTAGATAATGGCGGATATCCTTTTAACAAAGTTTGTCCATTCATTGCTTCCAGGGCCGCTGCAGCTTCTGACCGTTTGGTGTAATATACGAAGCCAACACCCTTGGACTCATTTGTGGATTTCTCTCTCAGCAAACGGACTTTAATAATTTCACCATACTGCATGAAATGCTGCATCAAGTCTTCCTCTCCAAACGACCTTGGTATGTTAGCTATGTAGATAATGGCCCCCTCACACTCACTGTCATTCTTCCTGGCATGGCTTACTTTGATGGTTTTATGGTCCATTTTCTTCCCTTTCATCTCATGAATGGCACGCTCTGCATCCTCACATTCAAGTAATCCACAAAACCGACATCGTAGCTGTAGTTAGTGGCCTTGTCGTGGACGATTTTGTAGGATTTGAGGGGCCCAATCTTTTCAAATATCTGCTTAAAGTCCTCATCGGACAGGATTTGTGGGAGGTAGTTAACAATAAGATTTGTGCTGCCAGGGTCTGACATGATCCTCTTTCATAAGTCGTGGTGGAAAAAAATAATGAAAAAAAAATTAAAAACAGGTTTCCTGGTAAATCAGAAAGAAAAACAAAATATAAGTTAACAAGAGGCCCATGGGCCACATCGCTCACCTGAGTACTGAGGGAAAAAACAAAAATCAATCCATGTTGAGCATTGAAAAGCTTTAATGTATAAGTGGTCCCAACCTACCCCTAAAAAGGCAGGTATGATTTGAATTAACTTGAATCTACACTTACGAAGAATGCTTATGTATTTCTTGGACTTACTGTGACTTTTTCCCCAATAATGTTTAAAAATTTCATTTTGATCTCACCCTACCTCCAGGGGTTGTGATTTAAAAAACCTGAATCTGCAGTACCTGAGGATGTTTCATTTAATGTAATTTACAAATATAACCAATCACGGCTTGTTATACTTAAGAAGATTTTAAAGAATTTTCCAATATATTCCTTTGTTTAATTTTGATCATCCACTGTGGTCCCACCGGAGTCATGATTTGTACAAATTTGAATCTATACTACCTGAGGATGCTTCCATATAAATATGATTAATCACGGCTTCGTTGTTCTTGATAAGAAGACACTTAAAGATTTTTCCTGTATATTTCTATGAAAATCTTTGATCTTTCATTGCGGCCCCATCCTACCCCCGGTGTTCATGATTTGAACAAAATTGAATATACAATACCTGAGGATGCTTCTTTGTTAGTTTTATCTTTCAGGGCCAAGTGGTGCCTAAGAAGATTTTTAAGTCATGCCACCAAAATTTCACTATTTCTTAATTATCTCCCCTTGAAAGAGGGTGTGGCCCTTCATTTGAACAAATTTGAATCCCCTTTACCCAAGGATGCTTTGTGGCAAGTTTGGTTGAAACTGTTGTCACAAATTCTGGGGGGAATAACTGAATTCCCCATAAAAAAGTGTTATATAAATTTTTTTTCTTAGAAAACTGCTTTAAGCATTCCTTCCCCTCAAAATGTAAACCAGAGAAACATAACTGTACAAACTGGTTCAAATTTTAAAACTGGGAACAGAAAATTTAGACTACAGGAAAACAAGCTTATAACAAAGTGCCATGGACTGAGGACTTTGCTTTGTTATAAGCGTAATTCGCTTTAACTGTTGATTACACAATATATTCTAAAGCCAGGGGGAATGAAAATTATTTCGCTGTAAGCGTCAATTCATTTTCATTGTGATCACTTTAAACATATTTTACTGTAGATGGATTTTTTTTTATAATTGATATAATCTTGACCTTCAAGAATCTGGTCAAGGTCAAAGCAGATTCTGCTTCGGTAATGCTATTAAATCTTTTATATGATGGAATCTTGCTAAAAGACAAAATCACATATTCATTTCTGGTCTTTAAACAAAGCATTTCTCAGATGAGATACAATTAGTCAACGAATAATTGGAATGGAAACTTGAAATTCTCTCTGAGAAAACAAAATGATCATTAACAATCATCATTTCTTAGTTTTAAATATCATTACAGTATTAATTCACCAAAATCAATAGAACACAAAAAGATACAAATAGAATTGTAAGATTTTGATGGAAGCTCTGAACATCAAAGTCCTAATAACTGATCTAGTTATCTCGTTTTTGTGAGTCTGGTCTGGGGCCCAGAGATTCAAATGACATCCCCAGCAGACCTGGCCATTACGGAGGTCTGCAACACAAGGCAGTCTACACTCACTAAACGGTGAATTAGAGAAATAAAGCCAGACTCAAGTCGTCACTCAGTAACAGCTGTCAAGTCAAAATGGAACAATAAATTTCATTATCACTCACAACTGACATTTATTTGGTGCTAATTGATTTTTTAAAGAGGATGCTGAAAACAAAAGAATCTGATTAAATGCTCTTTAAGGTAAGACATTTGAATTTTTTTTTTTTTTAAATAAAATATCTAAGCTGAATTTCAACCACGTTAAAAAAATATTCTGATTTTATAAGCAACAGCCAGTAAAATATTTGTTTAACTATGGTTAATATTCTAGATTCAATTTCTGGTAAACTTTGTATTTAATAACTACTACATTTAACAAATAAATTAATGAATATTTAGTCCAAGAATCAACTGTAGTTCACTCTTAATTACCTTCATTATGCTTGATCAGATTTGGGCTTTTTCTGATTTTATATTACTACAAATGTTGACAGTTTAATTAAATATCCAATGACAATGATAGAAAACAGGGCTCCATTTTTCATATTTTGATCATCACGCTCTCCCTTACATATCAAAATAAATGAAAATAAATACATGTATTTTAAAAGACAAACTATTTTGATTTTTTCCCTTCAAAGTTTGATGTAATTGAAATTTAAAAAAAAATTCACAGAAGGATCAAAGAATAAGATCAGATGATTATATTTGTAAGTTAAAATTGAGTGATAATATAAACAAGATCTAAAGCAACAACAAGGCAATATATATATATATATATATATAAACATCTAATTTTTGTTTGATCCACCTATTACTGCCTGAAATGAAGCAATCAAGCTTTTCTTCCTGTGTTTATTGAATGTAATCCCCCGGGATACTGTTCCTATAGGAATGCTGACAATGCAGCTGGTGACCTCTCTGTTTCTCCTGTGTCTCCCAGTCTTAAAGGCAAAGCCAGGAAACATGATCATCAGGAAGGGGGAGTACTGCTCTGGCCCCCCAGGTATGCCAGGGGCTCCAGGCTTACCGGGGCACAACGGGGCCAATGGTCTTCCAGGAGAGAGGGGCCCAAAGGGGGAAAGGGGAGACTCTGGACAGCCAGGGATCCAAGGTAATGATCTAAATAAGATGTAGACCACTAGCATCTCATGATCTGGTATTTGTAAACTTTATTTACTTTTTAGTTTTAAATTTTAAATGGAAATCCACATTAATTCTGAGATATCTGTCACTTAATTCTTAAAATATGCCCCTACTTTACAGGTGTGCAGGGCTTGATGGGACCACAAGGTAAAATGGGTGATAGAGGCAGACGAGGGAAGAAGGGGGATAAAGGAGAGAAAGGACAGAGGGGAGAGTTAGGCAGAGTAGGGCCAGAAGGAAGACTTGGACCCAAAGGGCAGAAAGGTTAGTATCAGTGGTATATGTAGTGTGATTGTGATGATCAACATCAGTACATAAATATTGCACTATAAATATAAATTAGGTCAGTGAGTTGGGACATCGTGATCAGTACAGAAATGTCAGTATAGGTATGTGGAGACCCTGATCAGTACAGAAAGGTCTGTATAGGTATGTGGAGACCCTGATCAGTACACAAAGGTCAGTATAGGTATGTGGAGACCCTAATCAGCACAGAAAGGTCTGTATAGGTGTGTGTATACCCTGATCAGTACAGAAAGGTCAGTATAGGTATGTGGAGACCCTGATCAGTACACAAAGGTCAGTATAGGTATGTGGAGACCCTGATCAGTACACAAAGGTCAGTATAGGTATGTGGAGACCCTGATCAGTACACAAAGGTCAGTATAGGTATGTGGAGACCCTGATCAGTACAGAAAGGTCTGTATAGGTGTGTGGAGACCCTGATCAGTACAGAAAGGTCAGTATAGGTATGTGGAGACCCTAATCAGCACAGAAAGGTCTGTATAGGTGTGTGGATACCCTGATCAGTACACAAAGGTCAGTATAGGTATGTGGAGACCCTGATCAGTACACAAAGGTCAGTATAGGTATGTGGAGACCCTGATCAGTACACAAAGGTCAGTATAGTATGTGGAGACCCTGATCAGTACACAAAGGTCAGTATAGGTATGTGGAGACCCTGATCAGTACACAAAGGTCTGTATAGGTATGTGGTGACCCTGATCAGTACACAAAGGTCAGTATAGGTATGTGGAGACCCTAATCAGCACAGAAAGGTCTGTATAGGTGTGTGGATACCCTGATCAGTACAGAAAGGTCAGTATAGGTATGTAGAGACATTGTGATCAGTACATAAATGTCAGTATAGGTATGTGGAGACACCTGTTTGTAAATACGATGTCCTTAGCAATACACGTTACAATTTTTGATATTTGACCTCTGATTATGAGCTTGACCTGACATGAAAGGTTGTTGCAATCTAAAGAGGAGGAGTTTTATGTGAGATCTCCAAATTATAAAGTTTCTGTTTCAAAAAATGTGAAATTAAAAATAATGACAAAGGTAAAGTTTTGGTTTAAACAACATATTTTTTATTGTAACTCAGGTGAGCCTTCAGTCCTGCCCCCTTCTGTTGCCTTCTCTGCGAGTCGGACCTCTCCCCTGGGGCCGGTGAGGGAGGACACCATCATCACCTACGACCAGGTTTTCTTAAACTTGGGGGAATCCTTTGACATCTTTTCCTCTCATTTTGTTTGCAAAGTCAATGGAACTTATCTGTTTATAGCACATGTTCTGGGGATGCTGGACAATGATGCGTATGCTTGGATCATGTTTAATGGGCAGCCCATGGTGCCGATGCACGGGGATCATCGGGCAGGTTACGGAACAGGAAGTAACACATTAATAATACATCTGGTTAGTGACGATCATGTGTGGGTGCAGCTAATGAAGAACTCCTCCTTGTTAAACGACTATTCTACCTTTTCTGGCTATTTAATTTACAAGGATGGTTGATGTGCTAATCCCTTAAATTGTTTGTTTCACTGAAAGTCACTGTTTATTGTTAGTTTTGCTGTAGATTACCATATCTACCTGAGTATTTTATAATCATGTAATTTTGTTAGAAACAACACCTGCCAAATTAAATAACTTGCTTTCATTTATATATTACCTGTTATACAAGTAAAATAACTATCAACAGTTTACTCATAAAGTCACAATTTGATGAGTTCAATTCATTTTACATCATTAAGCACTTGCAAAAAAGTAAGGAATCTACAGCATTGTTTACATATTAGGAATAGAGAGAGAGAGAGAACTGAAATACTATAAATTTACCTTTTGTCATCAGTTTTCTTTCCTTCTTTGGTGGAATCTTCTGTTTTAGGTGCAGTTTTTGTTGCTTCAAGAAAAAGATTGCATTTTACCTTTATTTTCATTTTGTAATATGTCATTATGTAAAATCAAAGTTTATTTTAATTTTTGTAATGTTTTCAAAGTCAATAAAATTATTTATGTATAAAATAACTGGGTTTAACAGCAAATTGTGGAAAATAATGGCCAAGCAGTTCATGAGATTTGAACCATTTCCCCTATTGATACCTGTATGTTAAACTTTGACCTCCTTGTCACCCCTTTTGACCCAAAAGGTCATAAAATGTAGCACTACTGCTTCTCACACACCCCCTCCCCCTTTACACTGTGCCAGCTTACAATTTATCATCCCGTTCAGTAGCCCTTTTGTTACTGTAAGATTTTTCAAGGTTTACCTATATATTCCTAGACAAAACCCTAGCCCTGAGGACTTCAAATTTATATCTGCAATAAATGGGGATTCTTAAATACATTATGATATTGTTTTCTAATTCAAATTCTTTTCTTCCAATTTTTAATTTACGTTACCCTGTCTGAGCATCACTCGTTCTTCCTCAGCAAGAACAATTAATTAATTTTATTATACGCCATCGGGTTTTTCCCATATACGGGTATCTGTACCTCTACATGTATTTCTATCTTTTTTTAATTTTGACCAACTTATTGTGACTTAACCTGAAGTCCTCAAGATCATTAAGATTTAAAGCAGATTTTACAATCAATATGAAAACATTCATATTTTTAAAACATTAACTTCCTCAAATAAAACATATACAGTTACTAATCAGCTACTGAAATAGTTTAGTTTGTTACTTTTCATCTTTGTATTACCATAAAATTTGCATTCTGCAGTCATTTTCTCATGTGTTTCATGTCCTGTAGCCCTATCTAATAAAGTCTAACTGAGTCTTAAAATTACTCTTTGTACACAAATTTCAGCATATGAAGAAAGTATTTATCATACCAAAGAAACTGTGAAATGCTTTTTGTGGCTTCTTATTTCCTGAATCTTCTTCTGTCTTCGTATCTACAATGTGAAAAATATGTGTTGTACTGGTTTATGTATGTTATTTACAAACCAGAAGTCTCTGTCAAGACTGGAGCTCTACTGGTTTGTACTTATAGCAAAGGAAGAGAAAAGTACTTAAGCAGTTGGGAATTGAAACTTTACAACAACAATAAATAGAACTAGATATCATTGAGATGGTGGCCATCTCAAAGGGCCCCGCTTTTAGCAATGAACATGAAATTGTAAGGTAGCTGAAAAGGGTAATTTTGAAGTGTTTGATATTAAAGGGGTACTACTCCCTGAAAAATAATACAATTAAAAAACTTTTAGAAATGTATCCTTTATGAATATTGTTGCATATCATCTATCATTATATGGTAGGAAAATCACATACCTTGTCAATTTGTTTGAGGCTGAGTGGACTTAAGGGAAAAAAAATTATGTACTAGCAAAGATTTTAAACAGAGAGGCTATTTTTTTACCTTGACCCTTGACCTAGAAATTTTGTTCAAGGTCACTGCAAATCAATTTACCACTGGCACTCTGAATGAAGTATGAGCCACATTGGACAAAGGGGAGAGAAGATATGCTCCAGACTAGGACTTTTCATATAATAATGATATGATTCTGCTAGGACGACCTTATCCTTAGACCTTTAACATGGTTGAAGGTCACTGCACACCCTTCACTCAAAGTATGAGCCACATTGGACAAAGGGGAGAGAAGATATGCTCCAGACAAGGACTTTTCATTTAATAATGATATGATTCTGCTATGACCATATCCTTAGTAGGGCTGGATCAATATATCGGTAATCGGTATATATCGATATTTGTTAGCAATACGATAACCGATACAGAGATGCTTGCGTATTGCTCGATTATTTCAACGTTTAATTAAGAGAAAGAAAAACGTCAAAGTGACTAATATTACGAACGACTTATCTAAAATCGTTTAAACGCATGTAAACATGTCAAAAGTGTAGGGTCGCTACGTAAAAGTTAGCAGCAAAAAGGCAAAATGTAATTATATTTGTCAACAAGAAGTCGCAAGTTCTGGTGGAACAACGAGCCTATATATTATTACCCATCTCAGCCGGCATCGCAACATTGACCTGTTTGCTACTGTGAAACTTGGAGGCAATTCCGGTAGGTGAGATGGCGCGTCGAAAAAAAAAAGTCATGGAATGTAAACCGATAATAAGATATCAATCAGAATTTTTAAGTCATAGTTTATTTTAACTCAAAGCAATTTGGTAAAATATTTTATCTGCCATTACTTCCACGAATACGACGTCAAGTGAAGTATCAACACAGTCAAACAGGTCAATGTTGTGATGTCGTCTGTGGTTTCAGAACGAGTATTTAGCATCAGTGGCTACATATTTACATGCGCAAGGGCTTGTTTGAAACCTGACTAAGTGGATCGATGCCTTGATTTTTCAGAAGACAAATATGGGCAAATAACATTAATCTTTCATATACTTGTCCATTCAGAGAATAAAAAAAAAAACAAGGATTTAAAATGTTTTATTATTGTAAATTTATGCTGTAATAAAAAAATACTATCACCTCTTTAAAAAAAATGCCAAAAAAATAGTGTATTCTCATTTGTCTGTATCGGCAATATGTATCGCATATCGCACCTCTGTATTGCAATATGTATCGTATCGAAAAATTTCTTTCAATACCCAGCCCTAATCCTTAGACCTTTAACATGGTTCAAGGTCACTGCACACCCTTCACCCAGAGGCACTCTGTGAAATAGGTATGAACCTAGTTGGACAAAGGGCAGAGATATGCTCCAAACAAGGATTTTTTATATAATTCTACTATAACTTTAACCTTTGACCTAGAAATATTATTCAAGGTCACTGCACACCCTTTACCCAAAGGCACTCTGTGGGTGGAGTATGAGCCAAATTGGGCGATGGGGAGAGAAGATATGCTCTGATTCTGCTATGACCTTGACCTTTGACCTAGAAATATGGTTCAAGGTCACTGCACATCAGTTACCTTAGGGCACTCTGTGAGTGAAGTATGAGCCAGATTAGGTCAAGGGGAGAGAAGATATGCTCCCGACAAGGATTTTTTCATACAATTCTGCTATGACCTTGACCTTTGACCTAGAAACATGGTTATTACTGGGCTTAGAGTTAATTCATCCAGAACTTGTTTGTATGGTGAACTAGGGTGGGAACCATTATATCTTAAAAGAGAAAAACACAAACTTCAATTGATGTATAAAATGATTAATGGTTCTGCACCTGATTATTTGTATGATTTGATTCAACCTTGTTTTCCCGTTCAACATGCATACAACCTAAGGTCTGGATGTAATAACTTATGTATACCAGTTTGTAAAACAATGTCGCACTATAATAGTTTTATTCCCTCAACCATAAAACTTTGGAACAGTCTTAGTGAAGATGTAAAAAACTCTCCTTCATTACCTATCTTTAAAGCAAAGCTTAAGAACTGGGGTGCAACTAATAAACCTTGTAGGTACTTTAACTTTGGAAATAGAAAAGAAAATATCTTGCATTGTAAACTGCGAAACAGTGCTAGTAATCTTAATGCGCATTTAAAAAATCATTTTTTATCAGATATTCAATCATGTCAAAAGTGTGGATTTCATACTGAAGATACAGAACATTATTTTATCAACTGCCCATCGTATAATGTTGAAAGAAACTTATTGGTAAAAAAATTAAATGATATTGATGTTGTTTTTGAACTAGACACTCTGCTAAGAGGAAAATGTCAATACTCTTATCAAACAAATTGTAAAATATTTTCATATGTACAAGAATTTATTAAATCTTCTAAGAGACTAAATTAGGGACACTGTTATATTAAATATTCTATTAAATGCATAATTTTTTTCCCAAATATTTGTATTATTTTTAAGCTGGAACAGTATGTAAATAAAATGTATACAGTAAGGGGGTTGTCATCTTTTTTGAAACATAACATTGATTAACTAGAAAACTGACCAGTCAGCAAGGGCCCCGCCATGGGGTAGAATTAATAGGGTGCAGCTTACGGAATGATTAAAAAATGTACGAAGAATAAGCAACAGCAACAGCAACTGTATTCTTAAAATTTCAAGATAATTCCTGAATATTCAAAAACCTGAAAATAATATCCTTGTATTTACATTAGGCAGTAAAGAACAACTTAACATTGAATGTATATTTAAACAATCATAAAGCTTGTGTTATATAAAATGCCAGCCTTCAATATCATGAAGGCTTGACCTTAACTTCAAACAAACAGCAGTTGCACACAAAAGTTTTCATTAATCTTAAAGTGACAGATAAAGAAAAGCCTACTAAATTTTCTGCAGCAGGCTAGATAATTATATATATATATATATAATCCCAAGGGATTAATTGTACCTCTCTCATCATTTTCTTCCAAAGTTACAATAAGAACTTTTTCATTATTAATGATAGAATGGGGTTTTTATACAACTATCCAAAAAATTAATAATATTCTTGAATTAACATAAAGTGAAAAAAGTAAATCAAAAAATCTTCTTTAATCTATTTCTTGTTAATAGAATTCAACGAAATCATAACTATTAAACTAAAATAAATTATAAAAATTTATTATTTAAATCCACATTTCAGAGTTGCAGACAGAGGTGGTAATTCAACTCAATTTGACAGATAAAGATAATGCTCTGGATTTTCTTCAGGAGGAAAGCTAATTAATCCCAAGGGACTCATAGCAGCATTCAGTTTACAATGGGAACATCTTCAGCAGTTATCTCTCTTTGCCAATGCTTTTGTATATAAAGTTAAGGAATCTACCCCACCATCCCAGCTCCAAACCAGGGGACATAGAGAACCAAACTTAGCATCAAAATATGTGTTTCTGCCAACTGAACTACCATACCAAATTTGTACTTGATTGGGCAACCATAAAAAAAGTTGCCCATTCATTCTTATGCATAGTTAAGGAATCTACCCACCACCCCAGCTCCAAACCAGAAGACATAGAGAACCAAACTTAGCATCAAAATATGTATTTCTGCCTACTGAACTACCATACCAAATTTGAACTTGATTGGGCAACCATAAAAAAAGTTATTAGAAAAAAACAGAAAATTTGTGGACGGAAGAGTGACAGACGGACAGACAGACAGACAGACGGACAGACGGACGGACAGTGATTATTATAGGGCACCCGCAAATCCTTGCGGGGCCCTAATAATGCTGATTGTGAATCTTTATTTTTCATTATAATTTTTTTGATTATCATGTACAGGTATTATTATTTACTGTATCTTGACCTATTATACAAGGAGAGGGTGCCTGTTGCCCAATCCTTATTGAATTACTCAATAAAATATGTTTAAAGTAAACATGGTTCAAGGTCACTGCACACCGGTTACCCAAGATTGGGCCAAGGAGAGAGGATATGCTTCGGACAAGAGATCTCGGAAGGACTGACGGACGGACAGCTGGACGGACGGACAGACTGATCACTATAGGGCGCCTGCCGAGCGGGGCCCTAATAATGATCCTTGATTAAGTCTCTTTATCTTCTTAGTGTAATCTACTTGCATGCCACATTATATTATATTTAGACTAAAACTGTATTTGGAGTAGCATTTTGAGAGTATTTAACAGAAATTCTATTTTAAGTAACCACGGCAACACCGTTCATTGAAGTCAAAAACCGATATACAGAATTATGTACCTTAGTGTAGTCTACTGTGTGCCAAGTTATGTTGAAATCCGACCAAAACTGTAAGAGACGTAGCATTTTGGAAGAATTTCACAGAAATTTCTATTTTCAGTAACCATGGCAACTCCGTTCATTGAAATCAAAAACGAATATAAAGAATTATGTATCTAAATGTAGTCTACTTGTGTGCCAATTTATATTGAAATCAGACCAAAGCTGTAGCAGAAGTAGCATTTTGAAAGAATTTCACAGAAATTTCTATTTTCAGCAACCACAGCAACACCGTTCATCGAAATCAAAAACTGATACACAGAATTATGTACCTTAGTGTACAGGTGTAGTCTACTTGTGTGCCAAGTTATCTTGAAATCAGACCAAAACTGTAAGAGATGTAGCATTTTGAAAGAATTTCACAGAAATTTCTATTTTTAGTAACCACGGCAACACCGTTCATCGAAATCAAAAACCGATAAACAGAATTAGGTATCTTAGTGTAGTCTACTTGTGTGCCAAGTTATATTGAAATCAGACCAAAACTGTAGGAGTAGTAGCATTTTTGGAAGAATTTCACAGAAATTTCTATTTTTAGTAACCATGGCAACAACAAGCATCGAAATCAAAAACCGATATAAAGAATTATGTATCTTAGTGTAGTCTACTTGTGTGCCAAGTTTTATTGAAATCAGACCAAAACTGTAGGAGGAGTAGCATTTTGAAAAATTGTTTACAGACAGACGGCCAGCTAGACAGACAGAAAGACAGCTAGACAGATGGACGCTGGACGCATTACTATCGCATAAGCTCTTCCAGTCTCTGACCAGTAGAGCTAAAAACAGTCAAATCTTATTATCATAAACTTGAAAGGACCAAGATAAAACTGTGAGATAGAAAGATAAGGGGAAAGGGGTTTAAAAACATAAACAGTGGCTACGACTGCCAAATAACTTTGACCTTCATCCCAGGTAATAAAGGTAAACTGAGTTTACTACAGAGTTACTTTGACTTTCTGACCTTTGCCCTCGGGTGAAGGTTCGCTTTTTTTAGACTTTGTCTTGTCCTCCTTCTTAGATGGCGTTTTCTTGGTCTTTGGAGATCTCTTTGTTCGTTTTGATGAGGATGCCTTATTGGTTTTCTGTTTAGATGATAAATTGTGTCACTTAATGCCCTACAAATCTAGTTTGAGATCTTGACTAATTTTAAGGTTACTTGACATATATATATACATATATTTACATCCACTGAATATTTTCTCCTTTATTTCTTTGGAAAACCCATTGCTGTTAATCAGTGCATGAACAACACTAGGCATATCACCTGTATTGACTTCTTGATCAGTGGCTGATCCATCAATGAAACGTACAAAGACGGACGTATCATTGATACAATAATTAATCTTTTCAATCCTACTTTAAATGATTATTTAAACAGATATAAATATAAACAATAAAATGTCATTCTTTGGTTGTTAGTAAGGGAATGAATGTCGCAGCTATTGCAGAAAAAATTTACATAACCCGCGCAACATTCAACAACCAAAGAAAGCATTTTATTGTTTAAATAAACCTTAGTGTCCTCTGTTTCCATGTCCTCTTCCTCCCTACTGTCCTCTTTTTCCTCGACTTTTGCCTCCACATTGTCCTCCTCCTCTGTTTTGTTGTCCTTGACATTGTCCTCCATTGTTTCTTTCTTCTCTTTGTCAGACGTGTCCTCTGATTTTGGTACTTTGTCCTCAGTTTCCTCTTCCTTGACCTCTAGTTTGGGTTTTTTGGCTGGAGATTCACTACCAGGACTAAACACAAGGCTTTTCTTCTTGTTATTTGGGGTTGTCATGCTTTTCCTTGCTGTAAAAAAAATACTATTATCTAAAGCTTTTCATAATTATCAAGTACAAGTTTCCATAGGTAAGAAATCTGTTAAGATTACAAATACCTGTTTTTCTGACTGGGAGACCAAAGGGAGACTTCACAGGGGATTCTGAATTCTCAGCGACTTTCTTTTCTTCAATTCCATTGACCTGTATAAGGAATAAAGTATTTCAGATCACATTCTATTTTCAATAAATCAGTGACATAAAAAAGATCTTATCAATACTACTTAATCATGTGGGTGAAATGCAAACATTAAATCTTACAAATAAAAATGATACCATTTTCTTATGAAGCAGATTTACAGAAACACTTTTCAGTAAATATTTAACTCCAGCATTTTATTGAAATCTATGACTTAGTACCACCTTGGCTGGTTCTGGACTTTTTGTCTGGTTCTCCTGCTCGGTACCCCTGTTCTGGTTCTCCTGCTGGGTGCCCCTGTCTACCTCCTCCTCCTCGTCACTCTCGATGATCCGACATTTCCTCCCCTTCCTCGCCACTTTGACTGGTGAGTCCTTTACGGGGGAAGCCTTCACTGGAGACCCATTGTTCTGCTTCAGGGGAGACCGCTCCTCCTTAACTTCATTATCTACAACACTACAAAATTCATGGGGAAATATTAATAGATTATGTAAATATATTCAAACTGTTTCGATATATTGCTTGTAGAGAATTTCTGTATAATTTATATATTTTTAAAAGAAAGAAATGTGTTACTTTTGTAAATTTGATTTATAGCAAATTCATCTAGGCAATTCCGATTCTTTAAAGATTTTATAATGTTCCCATCTGAATATCTTTCATTACTTTGAGAAGTTAATTAATCTGTCCAATAAAAACTTGACTACCTTTTGGCAGGCTTGGCTTCATTCTTTTGGGGCTTTGGAGATGTGAAAAACGACCTACGGGGAAAAAATAAATTATCATTGTGAATATAGCTTTCAGCTCCTTTTTACTATAATGTGATGAAGAATATTTGGTCATTGCAACTATTAAACCAGCATTAGCCACCTAATTTCAAATGAACATAGTTATCCCCTAAATATTACATCTTTTAACACACCCTCAGGTCTAGCTGCAGAACTGTAGCGTTATGGTTTTATATCCCGTAATGCAAAAATTGTGCAATTTACGGTGTAAGATTTTTTGCACACTGTTTGGGAGAATTTGTCCACTTTCCAACAATGGTAAATCATCTAACTTTCCCTCCATAATCCTAGACACCTTTTTTTAATAAATCAGTATACTGTAAATGTATTATATTTAGCGTGTACGATATTTGGCGGAAAATGACTTTTGAATAAGTTAGCGTAGATTTGATTTAGCGCATTTCTTCATATTCTTATGTATGTGTTTATATGCGAGACATTTAGCATTGTGCTTGATTTAGCGGTTGCTGCGTTCCGCCAAAGCCGCTAAAAAGAATACACAGCCAAATGTAATACGTTTACAGTATTCAATACACCTCTCAACCCTTTATAGTCGCCTCTACAAGTGCTAAACTCGCTTGAAATAGAATTTTCTGCAATCTCTCAGACAATTCAAACCAAGCCAGTTTATTGCATGTAGAGGCAACTGTAAAGGGTTGAGAGGAGTATAAAATATATAAATTGGTTTAAGAATGTGTCTGGAATTAGGGGGTAAAGGTAAATGATTTATCAAAGTTGGAAAGTGGGGAAATTCTCCCAAACAGTGCGCTAAAAATCTTGCACCATAAATTGCCCATTTTTTGCATTACGGGATCTGTAGCGTTATGGTCAAAGACTAAATATATATAAGACCATAAGGCTACAGTTCCTGCAGCTACCTCAGGTCATTAGTAATCTTTGTGTGAAGAAGATACTTCCAACATCCAAATATCATTCTCCATAAAAGGTCTTTACAGACACTTTTTCTGTCAATGACCTTGAACTTTTGCATATGACCTTGGGCCAAGGTCATGAAACTCAGCCATAAGCAATCTTTGTGTAAAATGGGAACTCACCTTGTTATGAATTATGTACTTTCTTTCAGTGACCTTGATATTGCCAAAATTACCTTGGGCCAAGATCACCCTCAGGTCATGAACAATCTTTGTGTTAAGAAGTTGATTCTAATGTTCCTTGTAAGAAAGATACGCACTGGACACTTTTGCACAGACAGCTAAACAGACTGACAAAGGTGAAAACTTTGTTTGCAGGGGTATAATGAATTATCTTTATGGGCCTGATGATCACCTGAGTATCAAGATTTTTTTTTTTACGTTATCTCTAACTCAGCCTATTTAAACCTTGGATTAGAACTCTGGCCACAAGAGCATGAAACAGACTTAGACTTTGTTAGTCTGTAAAACAATAACTAGTGGTGTTAAATCAACTTCAACACCTTTGTAAAAATATGTCGAAAAATATTTTAAATTTGTACTGCCTGACTTGTACAACATAAAGATTATGACTTAAGCTTAAATGCTTCATGGTCCTAAGGTCTGGATCATTATGACAAAAGTCAAACTGGTATAGTAGTTTCACTCATTATCACATTGCATCAAGTTTGTACCGATCAATTTTACTCCACCATGGGGGACACAAATTTTCATAATTTGTTAAATACTTTTATAATTGGTCCCCATGCATAAGATTTGTTTGTTAAATATCCTGGAGTGAAAATTTCAACGGAACAATGAATGTATGTTAAACTTAACCTGCTTTTGTAGTTTTTAGGTTTGCATAAACCATTACATGAATAAATTTTGTTGAAAAGCCAACTGTTTTTTATAATCATGCAAAACAAAAGTGGGAGTGATTGAATTGTTCTGCAATACATTCAAGAAAATAGCGTGACTCTGGTCAAAATTAATATGGAGAACTTCATGGAATATTTTCCATGCAGTACAAATACACTAGTTGTATTTAATCAATTAATATAGTTGTTAAAAAACTGCTGGACAATTAACATATAAAAGATTAAAAAAGATAAATAATTTATTGACGATGTGATTTGTACACAGCTGGTTCACAAAGAGAGTTCTTTTTTCACATTTATCTGAATTGACATGAAGGAGTGAAGACACATGTCCTGCCATCATAATACTGATATTCCTTATTATTCAAGAATGTTCACTCTTGTACTCAAAGTCTCAAACTGTATTTCTTTCAAAAGAGAATGAACAAATAGTCACTATTTAATAACTAGATGAAAATAATGATATGAATTATTCCGCTGGTGTTTCTTCCTTTGGAGCATCAGCTGTCTCTTGATTTCCCCCGTCTTCTCCCCCAGCCGTGGTTTCCTCCCCTCCTTCTGGGGCAGTTTCCTGAGCTGGTTCTTCCTCTTTCTTTTCTTCTGTCTCCCCACCTTCTGGTTTCTCTTCCTTCTTTTCTTCAGTTGTCTCCCCTTGTGATTCTGCAGGCTGTTCAGATGTTTGTTCTTGGTTTTCTTTTTCACCAGCAGCTTCTGTGTCAAATATAAATATATCATGATGAAATAGTCTGTTTTAAACTTTTAATCATTCAGAATTCATCAATCTTCAACAATATTGCATAGCTTTGAAAATCTTGAATTTTATAAATAGATCAATAGACATGATGAAATAGCATATTTTCATCACTCAGAACTTAAAAATTTAGCATGGCTTTGAGAGTCAATCTTTATTACAGTAATTTGATTTACAACCCTGACCTTGAGATGCCATGACTTACCTTCTGCTTGCTCTTTGGCCTCTTCCTCCATGTCCTCCTCCGTTTTCAGGTGAATAGCTGTAACTTGTCCAGCCTTCCATTTTGGGATTATATTTGCTGAAGGTTCTTCATCATCCAGCTTATCTTCCTTCTCCTGCTCAATAGGAATGTATTCTCCATGTTGTTCACATCCAATATCAAAGACATATTTTCCTTTTCCCATTGGTTTATCTTCTTTGAACACGCCAACATATTTATGGTTTGCATGAATCAGTTCGCCATGTCCTTCTCTTTTCCCAATTTGCCACCTGCCTACATACTTTGTGCCGGTTGCAGCATATGTGTATGTTCCTTGACCGTGTCGCTGGTGATCTTTCCATTCTCCCTCATATGTATCACCATTAACGTAGGAGTATTTTCCAAATCCACACCTCTGATCATCGACCCAGCTTCCTTCATATTTTGAACCATCTGGATATATGAATGTTCCTTGACCATGTTTTCTATTTTTTAAATATTCTCCAATGTATCTTGCTCCATTTTTGAATCTATAAACACCTTGACCATGTCGTTTTCCACAGTCATACATTCCCTCGTATGTGTCTTGATTTGGTAACGTTGCTTTTCCATGCCCATGCCTTTCTTCATTTTCATTTCTTCCTCCTTCATATTCTCCAAGGTAGGGGCCCTGATCCTCCTCACCCTCTTCAGATCCAAAATCAGACATCTTCTCTCTTTGTGTATGTTATTCACTGTAACCCAAACACACGACTAACTACGCGACTCTATGGCGGACCTTGTAAACAATGGTTACCAAGATCAATCCCGCGTGCGCGAACACGTCATAAGAACGATAACTCTTCCTAGTTAGCAAGTGATTGATCGGTCCTGACACTTGCGATCCAATTATTTAATTAAAACAATTTAATTAAAGTAATCCGTCTAATTATTGATTAATTCTGTTCTTTTTTAAAATATAATTTAATCTTTCAGTCCCTTTTTCATTGTTTGTGTCCATAACGAATAATTGTACCAGGGAAAACAATAACTTCCAACAATGTAACATTATAGAAAAGCGTAATAAATGCAGGTAAAAACAGAATCATGACCACATTTAGTTAATACCTTTACATTCCGAATTAGTAACTAGTACTCACCTTATGGATTTTTGCATTGTTTTGGTTTTGCTGGCAATTATTTCCCGCCAAGTGCTTTCATACCTTTTCAACGTTAAAGATTCATTGGTTAATTCATTCCTTATTCGAATTGTTTCAGATCAAGTACTCGTAGGACTTCGCGTACAGTGTTTATTTGAAATCCTGCTTAAATTACATCCACACATTACAAAGATTCATGTAAGATTAGCTGTTTGAAGGGAACAAACATTTGTATTTCAACGGGATATGTTTACCCACCCCCTTCTCCCCTCGTCTCTCCGAGGTAAACTAGCTAACTTCTGAAGAAAACAAATTTAGAACAAATTCATTTCACAATGCAGAAGAAATTCCTAGTATTATATAATTGGTAAGTTATGCATAAAAAGATATTTTCATCTCTCTAACCATGCTAACGAGCACCATCGATTGAAAAATGAGCCAATTAAAGAGTAGATTTGCCCCCCCTTTCCGGTCAGGAAAAGGGACTGAAGACATACGATTTTTATCTACAGCTTTATAATTCTTAATCAATTGAATTCTAAGTTATAAAAAGTTTAGGGAATTTATTTTTTATACGATATGTTCAGCAAATTGTGTCTTTCTAAATGTGTTAACGTTATGTGTATATAACAGCATGCAGGGGATGCTCTCTCCTACATGGCTCCTGATCCCACCTCTGATATTTTGGAGGTCCGTGTTTGCTCTGCTCTTGTTTTGCATTGATTTCTGGACTTTTGAGCTTGAATACTGTTCGTTGTCCCTATATGTTTCATTTTGAGACTATTTTAAATTTTAAAAGTTATAAGAATAATTAAATAATCAAATTAATACTTCTTTTAGCAACAAAATTGGTGTTCTGTTATTTTAAAAGAAAAAATACCTCTGTAAAAGCGTTTTATATGCTGATCATTTGATGCAATTGACAAAAGAATTAAAGCGAATAAAATAGGAACGATTTAACTAAATCATACGTCATTTGTCATAATTTGGAAACGTCACATCCGTAAAATTAGAAATATTGGTCAGAGGACAGTAACAGTGACAGTTTGTGTTCAGTGATATCTCTAAAATTATTTTAACAATGAAACCATAAACGCATGTTTGGGATTTTGAAGAGGTTTGTATAACATGATGATAAAAACGAATCGGATCGTGGATATTTATTTATGAGAGGGATTTATTGCATTAAATCTGTCCTGATGAGCTGTCATGCATCTATTACATTGTATTTTCTTACTCATTCATGCTATACAGTGGAGCCTCATTTATCCGGACGCTTTGGTTCCCAAGCAAATTGTCCGGATAAGTGAAGCGTCCGGATATCTGAATTCTATTAATTTCTCTTCCAGGTATACTGTATTTGTATTGTAACTCTTATATATGAAGAAAGATAAATAATATCATATAGAAATAATAATTTATTATTTTAAAATGGTGATTTTCTCCTCGTCAATAACAAACTGCCTTAAATCTTGCAATGAAGAACATGGAAGATCTATTTTGCGTTAGCAGATTTTTTTCTTTAAGCTGGCGGAAATGCCGACTCGTGCTCTCTTTGCCGGCGGTGTAGACATGGTTGTAGCTGGAGAGCAGAATGACAAACATTGGATATAACGCTGCTTATATGGGCAGATTTTTAATTACCCACCTTATTTTTACTTTCTACTTCCTATAAATTGATGAACATAGCCAAGCGAATTCTCTCATTTGCAGGTTTGATTACACCCAAGCGAGCTATCAGTATCGAGTCTAATTTTAATTTGAATACTCATCCACGCTAAATCTGACATATTAAAAATTCATGCTGTAATCTTCCCAGGCGAAATCATTGATTGTCTAAAATTATTCAAATTTGATTGAATGTTTTAGGTTTTTTTTTTCGTTGATAACTGCCACCAATCTACAGATGAAAATTACACAATACTGATTTGGGTGTGCACATGTGTAGACAACGAGTTTCGTCCCGTCTATAAATAAAAAAATATTTAAAACCAGCTCTGTACTAAAATTATAAATATCTCGCAGATAACAAATAAGTGAATAGAAAATTGTTTTCTGTTATCGACACAGTTAATTGTTTATTTTCATTTGTGTATCGATCTCTCGTGTATTATGACCATATCCACTTAGCATGCTTAATCTGTGGACTAACGTTAATCATCGTAAGTCATTCATAACAGGTCACAGGTGATCGTCTTGTAAAAACAATCAATCCGGCCAGTGTTGTGATAACAATTATCACTCAGTTCAGGCGTGAATGTTGACAAGAGTGGAAGTACAAATTAAAATTTACCGTCCGGATAAATGAACCAAATTATAACGTAAAAATACGTTTTGTAGTAAAAAAGAGCCGTCCGGATACGGAACGCGGAATTCCGGATAAATGAGTCAAAATTACGTTAAAAAAATCCGTTCCCGAGAAAAATCGTCCGGAAGGTGAAGCGTCCGGATATCTGGCGTCCGGATATCTGAAGGTCCACTGTATTTGGAATATTTTATGCAAATCATACAAAAGCCTTGGAAATTAAATGTCAAGAATTGAGTGTTAATGAACAATTACTTGTAATAGTTGTAATATTTACCATTGCCATGTGTATGTTTATATCTCTTGATCTGTTCTGTTTCTGTGAGTGATTTGGTACGTTATAGCATGAATTTATACACACATCATAAACCATCTCAGAACTGTAGCGGATATGGTTTGATATATTAGTCCTTGACCATAAACACTACATATTTTGTAATGCAAAAAGTGTGCAATTTATGGCACAAGATTTTCTGCACACTGTCGTGGTTAAATTCTCCACTTTAAATCATTGGTCAGTCATCTATCTTACAGTCTTTCACTCTCTAGTTTTAGCCACATAATTTAACCAACATGTATATTTAAAATTACCTCACAACTCTTTATAGTCATCTATACAGACGGATTAACTTGCTTGTTTCAATTTTTCAGTCAGAAGATAAAAAAATAAAAACAAGTCTATTGGTTTGTAAAGATGACTATAAAGGAAAAAGTCTAATAACGGGGTATTTGCAGTTTCGGTTTGTTTTCTTTGCAGAGGTACCTCAGGTCCTCTGCACATACTGAAATGAAATTTGATATACAGAATTAATCATAAGAATATCTAGGTCAAGTTTTGTTTTGTATATGATCCAGCCATTTTAGACAGAGCTGTACCCTTGGACTCTGGAAAACTCGAATTATTTGGGGGGGGGTGGGGGGGGGGAATAAGTGTTTCACAAACATCTGTTGTTTATTTGATGAATTTAAGGACCACATAATTTTACCCACAGAAACAAGCACATGTATTCACTATTCAGAGATGAAATTTATGTTTTAAGATTTAAACATTTTCAGGAAATCAATATAATTATGTATTTTGTTTTGAAGTTTGTCAGGGAAGTTTGTAATTAAGGAATGTTTTTAAGTTTAGTGTGAGTTATTGGTGTGTAAATCAACCAGACTTGTCACCTAGGCATATTTTTGAAAGTGAGTTCAGGGCTCTCACACCCTCTTTTTGGGAATATTGGGAAAATAGCATCCTTTGGGGAAATTTTAGGATAGTAGCATGTATGAGGTGTATATTTGATTTTCTATGCATGAGTATACACAATAGCATTCGTATATCAATTTCACAGTTGCTTTGTGGGAAAACACAGTAAATGTAAATTTTGTAATTGGATTACAGAAATGGCTGGCCAAGAACTTAAACTTTTGGTATATTTGACAACTTTGAAATAAAAATGAAAAGGTTGAAATAACAAATATCTTCACTATATATTGTAGATGAGTGATACAACTACATCCCCTCCTTCCACCTCAGCTACATTTAGTAGCACCACCAGTAACGAGTCGGTCCTCAGTACGACGGTACCCCTCCTGCCCTCCACCACAAACAGCTCCAGTGATGTACAGAACGGCACACAGCCCCACATACCCCTCATCTTCCTACAAACTGCTGCAGCTCAGGGCATCGGTGGAGCTTTCGCATTCCTTGCACTCCTTATTACAGTTCATCAGGTATGAATATATTCTGATTATGATTCATCAGTTTAGATAATCATGATAATACTTCTCTTTTCAAAACCTCATCACAATTTTTGAGTTAAATGATTCACTGTATCACAACTCCTTGTCACAGTTCATCAGGTAATAGAAGATTATATTTCTCATCACAGTTCTTTGGGTAAAAAAATACTTGCATGGCAATTCATTTGTAAAACAATTCACCTTATCACAGTTTGTCAGGTCATTATGGCACATCAGGTCAAAATGATACAACTGATCACAGTTTATCGGTAAAAATAATATTCCCTATCACATTTAATCAGGCAAAATTATACTCCTCATCTAACGTTTTACAAAGAGTAGTCCTCAGATGGAGGAAGCATGCATTCTTAAGGAACGGTTTTCATTGTATATAGAGTTAATTTGACAGAGTAATAACAGTAGGGTTATAATAATAGTACTCCTTATCACATTTCTTCAGCTATAAAGTAACGCTCATTTTGAGCAGTTCATCAAGTGAAATACACTTTGTCACAGTTTTTCAGGTAAAATAATCCTCACCATAGTTCATTGGGTAATATATATAAGGGAGACAACATTCTCGGGAGCTTTGGTTTTTGCAATATATTTATTCCTTGCTAATACAAATATATTTGAAAATGTAATGTTCGTGAACAGACAGACTCATGTTATTATTCGAAAATAAAGTTCTCCCACATAAAGAGTTATTTACAGTAATCAATCCGTACAGAGTGTTTCAACAAATGATGTTGCTTTGGTTACTGAAAAAGAAATTTCTCTTAAAATTTCTTAAAAATAGTATTAACTATTTCTCCAAACTTTTGTTCCAATTTTAACCAAATTTTTTACAGAACTACACTGTACTAGAATACAAAATTCAATTTATTGTTTCTTACTTTGACAAACAGTGTTGCCGTGGTTATAAAAATTAAAACTTTCTTGAATAGTTTTCAAAATGCCTCTACTAGAGTATTGGTCAATATCTAGAACACTTTATATACACAAGACAACATAAATGTATTAAGATACACCGACCAAGTATACACATCAGTAGAGTTTCAGCCACATCAGAGACTTCTGCAAAAAAGTTATTTTATTAACAATTAATAGCAATAAATGTATTGGCAGTGATTAAAATGAATTTCACAAATAAACCCTATATTATGGTTAAACAATTGATATTATAAAGGAAAAAATCCATGCACTGTTTTTCAAAGAAAAATTGAAATCTTATTATTTGCACTTGTATTTTAGTGTGTTTGAATAGTATACACATGTCATTGTGAAGGTACACAAAGATAAAGTGTGACAGTAACATTGTTGCTTAATTAAGCAAGGAACATAGTGACAGACTGGTCAGTGACAGAGTTATTGCTGATGTTATTGATTTCTTTAAGAGAACTTCGCTATTGATTGCTGTGAGTGAAATCTCTACAGAAATCCTACTCACTGTATAACCATAGAAACAATTACAACCTAATAACACTGCATGATAACAAGGAAAGTTTGGAACATGAAATGGTATAACATTGTTTCAAAGAATTTTAGTAATCCCAGGTGATTTTTGATACATGCTGATAAAAAAAGTACTTATTATAACTGTAATGTAAACTTTTAAAATGCCTAAAGCAATAATGGAATGCATTTTTTTAAAAAAATTAAAAATTATTTTTTACATTACAGTTTTATTCACTTTTGTATCAATAATGTATATAAATTGTTAATATGCTGTGGAAAATGGTTGGTCCAGGGTGTATTTTGCATATAGCCCACAATCTCAGGTCCATATTCTCAAGCTCCAGTGATTAGTAACCATGGTTTTAGTGAGGGAAAATTATAGATTGTATCTATGGTTTTGTTTACTGCGGTCTATGACCTTGCATGTTTAGGTCGTTAATTGACAAATGACTGTCATTACCAATAAACGGGGTATAAGACAGTAATATCAATTAATATAATTCTACTTCTTTACCTCTGATCTTGCATTGTGTTTTTATTAAAGAGAAGATGGTGACACAATATTGATTTGTTTTTGCTATTTAAATGTTAACATGATTATTGTCTTGAATTGCTGTGCATGACAATGTTAAGATACATGTATCATCGTAATAGGTCCTTACTAATGGAATACATAAATTTCTAGCGAGAAAGCGTCCATAATGTCTGATGGACATATTCTACCAATAATAACATTATTTGCAATTCTGCCTGCAGTGACAGTTTAACAGAACTGTATTTAGAGGGATAACAAGACAACATGCTAATTAGAGAGGCCTGATTTCGTGCCTCATTATAAACGGTTAAGAGACATGATTTAAGCTTCTGTGTTTATATTATACAGACTTTTAATGCATAAATGAAGAAAACTATTTATAGATCTAAACATTATACAAAATGAAATGTATTTTTAGATAAAAATTAGTGAAAATCCTACTTTCAATGATAGGTATATGTTTATTTTCATAATAACTTTCATAAGGAAGACATAAATTTGTTTGATGACTATTAACGTTTTATACACATATTGATACACTCTGATTGGTAAACAGAAAGTTGTAGCTAAATCTTTTTTGTTTTTCCAGATCTATCTCCACCTCCGGTACTACACCTGCCCCAATGAGCAGCGCTGGATTGTGCGGATTCTCTTCATCGTCCCGATCTACTCCTTTGATTCCTTCCTCAGTCTCATGTTCTTCAACAATGACAACTACTACGTGTACTTTGACAGCGTTAGGGATTGCTACGAGGGTGAGTATAAAAAATGAAACTGACGGGAAACATTAGAACTATATCTTGGTAGTCACAAAAGGGAAATTGAAAATCAATACCTATCACACGATTTGTTGGTATATTAGAAGTCATGGCAACAGAAGATTGCACAATATTTCCCCTTAAAACATTTTATGAAAGCATAAAATGTGCCTCTAATTTTATGACAAGTTCAGCACTTGCAGTAATTAGAAGATTTAAAAAAAAAAAAAGGACTTGTGAATGTCACTATTGCCAAGAATAGTTTTGACAAAGGTGTTACTAATATGGACATTGAAGTCTTGGTAGAGTGTAAAATTACATAATCAATGTACATTTGCTTGTACTAATTTGGTTCTTCTTGTTAAGGGAAAAAACACTTGAAAATCAGTTTGTTTCAGCATCTTGTAAAATTCATGCTCATCCAGACTAGTTCATGAGAGGATGAGCTGTTTATGTGTAATGAAGGGTAAAATATAAGTTTCAAGGATGTTTGAATAATCTTAGGTAGTGAAGGAAAAGTGATATATTTTGATGCTAGTTTCTTAAATTCAGATAGCAAAGATATAGATTACAGTCTGTATTATATTTTCCTAGTATTTTTGATCTTGTAGCATTTGTGATCTACAGTTTTCTGAGTCTGTGCCATAACAGTCTGTATTATATTTTCCTAGTATTTTTGATTTTGCAGCATTTGTGATCTACAGTTTTCTGAGTCTGTGCTATGAGTATCTGGGAGGAGAGAGTTCCATTATGTCAGAAATCAGAGGAAAACCAATCAAGTATGTTCAATACATGCAGACAATATCAAATGAATTTAAATTTGTTTATATTTACCTTTTTTATGTCAAAAAGAATGTGTTAGTGTGTTATCACAGATATGTAATGATTGCGATGTCAAAAAAACACCTTAAAAATAGACAAATAAGCAAAATGATTTACCGGTAGTCTTAATAGTTAACATACAAGGAAAAAACATTTACCGGTATACATCAGTAAAAATTTATTGATGAATGTGTGTTGCCATCCTACTTGTACAATCATCTTTTTTTGTGTAAATTCATGCATTTCTTGAATATATGATGATATAACTATGGACTTTTGAGGTGGTTAATATTATTTGATATTAACAAAAAAATTAAATGATGTTTTTTTATTCATAGACAGCTTATTTCAAATGCATGACTTGTCAAAGTACTGCTTTCATTACCTATGTAGGTCCAGTTGGATCTGGTGTACCTGTTGTTTAGCTGGACGACAATACACCATTGGATTTCTCCGATTCTGTAAACAGGTAAGAGGTCCTTAGATACATATAGCAAAACGATGGAGCAAATCTGTAATCAACCAGTCAGTAGAGTTCTGTATCAATTTATTATTTGGTCATGCTGCAGTTCTGTATCTTAATTATTATTTTGTTGTATTTGTAGGCCACTCTACAGTTCTGTATTGTTAAACCAGTTATGGCTGTGATCACCCTGATCTTACAAGCTTTTGGTCTCTATAAGGATGGGAACTTCTCGTAAGTTTAATTGTAGAATAATACATCGATAAGTTCACCAAACAATAAATAAATTGATCAGATAAATAGATAATTTATCAGTATATGTATAATGTTTGAGTATTATTAATCTTTCAGCCCCTCCTCTGGGTTCCTGTACATCACCCTTATCTACAATACATCAGTCAGCCTCGCCCTGTACGCTCTGTTCCTGTTTTATTTCGCCACAAGAGAACTTCTGAGTCCTTACGATCCTGTCTGGAAGTTTCTCACCGTCAAATCTGTCATTTTCCTGTCATTCTGGCAAGGTACGCAAGACTGAAAATTAAAATGCTTCCACTGGGGTTAGTTTAGTACAGGTACACTGATACATATGATACTGTGTCGTCATCATGATACATGATGTATCTCAATATTATTTCCATACAATCCATAAAAATATTCAATAATTCAGAGAAATAATTAAGTGTTTTTTATCCATGAGCTTTTGTTGCACCTATAGGTGTGCCCTGGCATTAAAGTATCTCATTTCTAAAAGAGTTTATGAATTAATTTCTAGGCATAACTATAAAGGATTGGGAGGTAAATAAAATATACAGGTTTGTTACAGACTGTGGTTAGGATACTTGGGAAAGGTATATGTTTGGCCAGTGCTGGAAAGTGAAGAAATTCTCAAATATTCACAAATGGATGGTTGATCAAGAGTTTTTAAATGTATTTAGGCAACATAAGTGAGTGATCTTATTTGCAAGCTGCACATCTTGCAAAATTATATGATAAAAAATTATTCCTCATATGTATTTAAGAATCTACAGTAAGTGTCTCATTATATATGAACAAGTGTTGACAAATGATTTTGTCATTTTCAGGTATTGTGCTGGCAATCCTTGAGAAGGCAGGTGCTATAAGTCCTATTTTCTCTGATAATGGAACCAAGAGCGTTGGACTAGGTACTGTCTCAGCTGGGTACCAGAACTTCTTTATTTGTATAGAAATGTTCTTTGCTGCTCTGGCACTTCGCCTGGCTTTCCCTCATTCGATCTACAGCTCGGGGCCTGCCAATACAACAGGAAGGACAGTGTCTCTCCAGAGTATATCCAGCAGCCTCAAAGAAACCATGAACCCCAGGGACATCATGCAGGATGCAATTCATAACTTCCACCCAAATTATCAACAATACACACAGCAAGGAAGTAAGATCCCTCACGAGGAGGAACAGGCAGACGGCTGGCCGTATGAACAGTACCAAAATCGTCCAACGCGTAACGGTAACGTCACGCGGGACGTGCTGTCAAGGCCACTGCCTCATCAACAACCAGAAACTGCCCAAGGTCAGCAACCACAGCGCCCTCATGTGGGCTCAACCACAAGGAAATTTAATGAGAAGACAACTCTTCTGAGTTCTGATGATGAATTTCAGTGAACTGTGAAATGACGGGTAGCATTATACAATCTCTGTGTGATCAGTATGAATATTAAAACAGAGCATTGATTTACATCACTGCAGTCAGACAAAGGAACTAGAATTTCTTATGTGTGGAACAAACTTCCTCCAAAGATCTAACAGAATTACATCAACTTTCTATAAAAGAGTAGAGTTATTCTTCAACCTAATTATGTTGTGAAGCACTGCAGCTCTAGCTATCACTAACCATTTATCTTTAACAGCCTTTACTGTCTTATTTCTGTAATTATGTGCAATGATGACTACAATCTATTCTGTCAAGAAGTTGATATGTTTGATACCCACCGAGATAGGTCAGTGTACAGTATGTAATCTGTAGTAGCATTAGAGTTGGTAGTTCTAAGGTTTGTGATTGTACCTGTGTTCTGTACAAATGTTTACAATATCAAGAATCTATAATTTGATATAGTGGTTTTGAGTTCTGTTATTGTGATATTGAGGTCATATCATTTTATACATTTACCTGTAGCTATTGAAATACATCAGAGTAACACTTACTATTTTTAGCCCTTGTTTGCCATAATGACTATTCTGAACAAAGTGCTGAAGAATCTCTTCTCTTTTTAATGGAGACCCAAAATTTTGTACTTTGTTACTATGAACATAACCCCATTTTTAGTGTAACTCCAAATAATAATAGAAGTAACTGTGTGTGTGTGGATTCTGTAAATCGTGAAAGTATGTGTAGGATTTGTGTCTGTGTAGATATTTCACAACTATTACCACATTGTTTCATCATAGCAGGATTTCATTTTAACCTTTTTCTTGCATCTTTTGTTTTTTATAGTCTTTCTATGAGAATGTGCATTAATTGACTGCTTTGAAGTCTGTGAAAAACTGAAATCATTGACTTATGACTTGATTGGTCAAGTTTTTACATTTATATTCTTGTAGTTACAGAAAAAAACTGAAGTTTAAATTTATTTAATGGCAAACAATTCTATTATTCTGAATTAAAAGTGAAGGACAGTACTCTCAAAAACAATTTAAATTTATAATCTAACTTAAATTTAGTTTAAAAAAAAAATGGGGCCAATTTTCCTTTGTTCTATACATCTGCCTCTCCATAAAAGGGTATGTCTCATTTTTGTCAGTGCACATGTCCCTGTGGATGAAGGTTTTCACTTTTCCTGACAGATGCAAAACTGGATAGTTCCATTTCACATTGAGTGCAATAATCATATGGCATCAATCTTTGATACATGAAAGTTCATAGTTCAGAATAAGTGCTTTGAGTGGATTGAATGACAATTTTTCTCCCTTGAGGTTGGAGCTCTCTATGGTGGTTGGATACAGTGACATAAAATGGCTTCTTGTACATTTGTAAATTCTCCAGTTAAACTTATTTAATGCTGTAGATGTCCCAATACTTGTAAGTTTTCGTTTATATATCCAAAGTAATTGACCATACCTAATCATTCAACTTATAGAGTGCATTACAATATATTCACACAGACTTGCTGTGACAGATCACATGAACTAATCTCTTTGTGGTTTATAATCATGTCAGTTTGAAATGTGTTCATCACCTGAGTGAGATAATTGACCTCCATGTAATACTGAGGGGGGTTGTTCATTAGTTATAAGAGCACTAACATTGTTCAAGGAGGAATTGTCATTCCAATTGTCTTGGACACCTTCACTTGTAAAATGTTTGCTATCTTTAGTTTATAATATGTACTTGCTTATGTTTTTTTTTTTTCAGTTTTATAATATTTTGCAAAAATCACAATTTCATAAACTTTAGGGGCTTAGCTAAGAATGGAGGCGTACAAGGCGAGGACAATCCCCCGATCTGAGAAAAGACATTTCTCAATTCTAAAAGTTATATTTTTCTAAATTATATTGCTTATATCATCTTTTACACATTTAAACATTTCATTGTTTTAATATTTTATTAATAATTTATTTTTTACAAATGTTTTAAGATATGTGAAAACAAAAAAGAAAAAGCTTCACCTATGATTCGAACTCTCTCCATAGCGCAGGGTTTGGTCCAAGACCGACCGCTTTAACCACTACGCTACGAAGTATATGCATTATCGATGTCTGTCAGTGTGATTTAAATGAACGGGTTTGGTGAAGCGTACATTTTTTCAGAAATATTCGATTTTCATGTAGAATGGGTTCAGATTCCATTTTTTGGACGAATGAAATAGATTTCACATTTTCCACTAAATATGCTTAACTGTTAACTTTGAAATAAAGATTATCAAATAATAAGTCGTTCTGTAAAATAAAATGATAAAATGTTTTGAAGTTGACATTGCTGAGAACATGATTTTAGAAAAATTTAGCTTTTCTGTGAATTTTGAAAATTGAGAAACATTTTGTCTCAGAGCGGGGGACTGTCCATGCTTTCTTTAATATTCATTCAAGTCCATAACAGATTTGCTTCGAATTACAAGGACGTGTGAATGGAATAAAAGAAAATCAGTTGAATTCACTATCAGTATTAAATTTTTAATTTTTTTTAGCATTAGTTCAGAAACCTTTGTGTAAGTATTATATTAATTTTATGGCATTATTACAAGAAATACATTTTCTTGAAAAATATTAAGGTTGTGCAGTTTTGGAGCTGTTTCAATTCTCTATCTTAAAATAAAATGTTAAGGATTTAAATCATTTTAAAGAAACGGTAAAAAAAAAAAATACAAGAATTTCCTTTCACAGAAACGGTGTGTACAGGGAAATTCTTCAAATTTTAGTTTACGTATGATATGTATTTACAACTACATACTTATTCTTGCATTGTTTTAGTCACATGATTGTAAAAATGTTAATGATTTTTCCAAATGTCTATGGGACCAACTAAATAAAAAACATTTTCCTAAATCTTGAAGCCTTTTCCTTCGAATATTTTTGTGTTTTATTAGGTAAATCACCTTTATCATAAAACAGATATTACTCATCGTCATAAAATGGTTAAATGAGATATACAATTTTCTCTCTCTCTCTTCATGCATGCTACACCCCCATAGGAATTTATTTTTGTAATTGTTATACATTTAGATATATTGATATGTTTTAGGCATTATATTTGGGGATTTTTTTTTACTTAGTGTTTTACATATTTGCAAAATTGTCTCTTTTCTGGTGTTTGGTAGTAACTGCAGAGTTGGTATTTTATTTACCATCAGTATGAGCCAGGTCTGGCATACAATAAAATTACTTACATTCTTACATGTATGTTAGATTTAATTTGAAGGCATGTTTAGCTGACCAGAACTTGTAATTTATGCATAAACTACTTACTGACATGTTAGAACAATATATTATTTGTGGTTATGGTAGGATCTTAGTTATTATTGACACATGGACAACATTTCTTGAAGCTTTTCGACTCTAAGTTATTGACAAAGTAGTTGTACAGCTTAAACATATCTGTTGACTGTTAATTGTGCCATGTTGTCCTGTTGTAAGTGTATGTGATAATAAAATATCAATTGATCTGTCTTGTTTTTCTTTGTTCATAGTAACTTTACATTGTAGTGAAGCATGCAAACTTCAAACAGTAATCATGAGCAAAAGGCCATTTAAACAATACAAATCAGGAGCACAGTAAACATGGAACTCTAAAGACATCAGAGTTAGGATCAGGTGCCTCTGAGGAATAAGCATCCCCTGCTGACTGGTCATATCTGCCTTGTGCTCCTTGTCAAGATCGGGGAAATACAATACAATACACAAGTTCAATACTTACATGGTAATCAAAAGTCAGTACATAAGGCCACATAACATTAATATCTCAGGTAGTGTTGGCCTGTCTTATTTTTGAATATTTTGGTTTTAAAAAAAATCAAAGACCAAGGTTCATTGAGGGCCTTTTTGGCCCTGTGAATTTCTGTAAAAAAAACCCTGTTTTTACTGTTTTAATTGAAAAGGCATTAAATATCATTTGGACCTTTTGTAATTGTGGATCTATAAAAATTATGTAATTTTCTGAATACTCAATGCATTATGACTTCATGAAATGTGTCATCCACATATTCTGAAAAATTCTACAACCAGAAGTCTCTGATGAGACTATGGCTCTACTGGTCTGTACATATAACAAATGAAAAGTAGCACTTGGATTTGAAACTTTGCAACAGGCGGCAATAAATAAAATTATGCATCTTAGCGCAGTATACTTGTGTGCCATGTTATACTGAAATCAGACTAAAACTGTAGGAGGAGTAGCATTTTAAAGGAATTTCACAGAAATTTCAATTTTTAGTAACCATGGCAACACCATTCATCAAAATCAAAAACCAATGTATTAAATTATGTATCTTAGTGTAGTCTACTTGTGTGCCAAGTTATATTGAAATCAGACGAAAACTGTAAGAGGAGTAGCATTTTGAAAAATTGTTTATAGACAGACAGACGGATGGACGACAGACACCTTACTATCGCATAAGCTCTTCTCTGACCAGTGGAGCTAAAAAACAGCCAATTTCTTAAGATACCTTTTGATTTTTTATATAAAGCAAAACTTCTGAAATAAAATATGCAACTACCGGTATTAAATGATAGAACCATTTCTAAGGATTACAAAACCCGTTTTATTTTTTTAGATGAGAGGGTGCGCTCATATCATTTCCTTTCTGAAAATACTGACCTGTTTTCTTTAAAATTCAAGAATATTGCAATTCCATAAAGCCTGTTTTCCAAGTCCTTGGCTCTATTAAAGGAGAATTTTTAAAATTAAGTATTGAATTCATATTTTGGGATGTCTTCAGTCCTATAACACACCTGGCAGTGCCTACAAATTGAATACCGCATGTTAGCGCGTTATGATAATTTGTCGGCACAGCCAGGTGTGTTATAGGACCGAAGACATCCCAAAATATGAATTCAATACTTATATTTACATTCTTTAATTTTTCCTCTTCATAATTGTTTATTTCAAAAATCTTTAATGTGAATTTAGCGCCCTTCAAAACCGGTGTGCTTTATAGACGTAAGAGCTTTTTGTGACATTTGTGATGTCATAAAGTTAAATAACGCAATTGAACATTGCGAGGAATAAAAGTGACAAATTGATTTTAAATGCACATTTGTTATATTTTACGGGGTTAATTTTTTTATTAAATTGTGTCAAACAATGTACATTTTGGTGTTCATAAAGTATTGAAAATGCATATAGTCCCTACTGTGTATTCAAATGCGTGGTGACAAGGTCTCGCCTGTGTTATAGAGATTTGAACGTTGTGAATTTCTAATGAATTTCATAAAGAAAATTAAATTGAGTGTAAATATTAGAAAATGAAAGCAACAAATCTCTACTTTATACCTTGATGTTTAAATTGGAACTTAAAGTTTAAGTCAATGAAATTGTATATCTACTGGGCCTTTTTATGCATAAAGTGAACCTAGCTCTTTGTAATAAGTTGAGATCCTCAATTCTCATTGATTTTTCACCATTTGTGAAATTAAGCTGAAGAGGTATAAAGTTAGTCTTGGGCTCTGGATAATGAAATGAAAGAACATAATTATATTTTGATAATCAAAAATATTTATTTATTTGTCATGAATTTAACATGGATAACAAAATATTTATCAAAAATGTTAAAAGCTGCATAGTAATGTAAAATTCTTAAATGCAAATTAACTTCCCTTATAAAATTATTAATGTCCATGATTCAAACATAAATGTTTTGTAATCAAGTGATGCCACTAAATAAGTACAACCTCATTTCTCTCAGAGAAAATTCTCAATCATAAAATGAAATATTTTCAAACAATTATAAATAGTCTGAAGCTGTCAAAACAACATTTTGGCATTCACAATCTACCATTCATACAAAATTTAAGAAACAAAAATAAACACATCCGTAGCGTAATCTAGTATATTGCACCAGTTTCTTTCAGCTGAACTGTGAGACACAGGTTAAAGTTACCATGTCATGTGACCACATAATATCACAGGTAATCTTCTCCGCAGGTAAACCTCATCTAAAAATATAACCACAACTTCTGTAACTATTTATTGATCTCTCCATTATGATGTTATCAATCAGTATGAGTATGAAGTATTTGTTATTAGTCTCATAATATAAGAACACACACACACACAAACTGTTAGCTACAGTACCACTAACAGGCTAACAGTGAATATTTGCTTGTATCAAAGTCACATATTAAATGTCACCATGTCTCATTGTGTAAAAATAATGTTTGATACCCAAAGGCTTCTGGCTAGAGTACCTATTTTAAGATGAGTACCTGTTTTAAGATGAGTACCTGTATTTAGATGAGTACCTGTTTTAGATGGTCTGATAACCCATCCTGAAGGCCCTGCTGACTCCCCATTCCACCACGCAGAAAGACAGCGTCCCCAACACACCTAGCAGAGCCAGGATGAGCAGCTGGTAGTGGAGTAATAGCACCTCACTGTAGTAAAAGGCCCCCGCCGCTGCTATAGACTGAAGAAGAAAGGCATGATATCTAGATACTGTAAACAAATGCATGTGCCCTACTGTTGTATGCAGAATTTAGAGCATCCTCAAGAAATTGAATTATCAAGGTTTCATAACCTGAGTTACCAATACTAATTTACCACCAAAATAAATTTTACAAATGGAAATCTCGAACAATTTCATTTAAACTAATATCTTCAGCAGAGTAATTATCATTTTAAATTGAGATTGACCACATTGTCAAACTTAGCTTAAGGGTAAGTTTTAGTCATTTGTACAGCCAGCCCATGAAAATGTACTAATAAAATTTCAATAAGAACTTACCTGCACAAATTTAAATAAGGCAAAAGCTGGGGAACTGTCCTCTGGAAACATGAATCCTAGGATTGAGTAAAGCTGTGGAGGAAAGAAACAAAGCTTCATAAAATAATAACCCAGTCATACTGATAACATCAAAAATTAAATATGCAGCCACGGTGGAAATTTGGCACATTATGTCTAAAATGCATTCAAAAGACGGTCAATGGAAAATTCACATAAATTTAGAATTCATAACAGCACTATATATTCACCTGAGTATTGAAACTGCTATCACCAAATCCAAGCAGAAAGGAACAGAATATTGCTACATATCGACTAAAACAGAAATTATCATGTGTTATTGTAAAAATAATATAACAAAAGGATACTTGTACAGTCCAAAAACCATTCATTTGTACTTCAAATGTAACACTTTATTACTGATTTCAAATAATTTGTAAAACATACATGATTTTTTCAAGAATCAAAGAGTATATACATGTACCTATGTAGTACAGTAAATATTTAATGATAATAAAATAGATGGGTGGACAAGGCTAGAAAAATGCTGCCTAAACTTTAACTTACTTTGGTGTCATGTATGTTGATAAATCATCAGAATTCTTAGGTGAACCATTCGGAAGATTCATGAAGATGAGGTAAAAAGCTGCCATGTGTGACAGAAAACCTAACAACACAATCGGGTCCCTGCCATATTTATTAGTTCTCTTCCCCATTAATCCAAATGCTGCACCACCTGATTAGAAAAATACAGAAAAAAATTCTAGTTATTATAACTTCAGGTAAGAAAGTGCATTGGAAATGTGATCACAAAAGTAAAGTTTATTGTAGAGTGTTGCACTTCAGATAGTAGGCTGATTTATTTAGAATGTTTAAAGATAATTTTCTGGGCTTCCAAAAGAAAGAAATGGTTGAGTTCAATTAGAAGTGTTGACTTAGCAGAAAGCAAACTGCAATGTCATAGGACTAGCTCCTCTTGTCTTCTATTCAATGACTAGTTCAATGAATATTCAGTAAGGTATTTCACCAAAACTTATTTTGTTTTATATTTTCTTCAAAAAAATTACAGTGATAAGACATCTTGATGTATCAATAATACTTTGTCCTCCGGTAATAAATTTTTTCAACCTCCACCATCAAAGAGTTGAACTGTTCTAGAAAAGAAGCTGAAAAATATTCAATAGTGACCATCACATGATGGATAACAGCTGGTGAAAACAGACAGCAACAGGTCACAATAGTGACTCAAGTGACAAAAAAAGTTAGTTCTGTTTATTAATCAGATATTACCGAGTATTTCTCCTACTCCTATGAACATGCCAGAGATTCCTATGAGGCCCTTGGCATCCTGACCAAATTGCTGGGTGTTAGATATACAGGTTCCATATACCCCACTGAAGAAAGTCAATTCAATGCCTGCCAAAATGCCAGAATATAATCACAGTTAGATACACAGGTTCCAAACACGCCACTGAAGAAAGTCAGTTCAATGCCTGTCAAAATGTTGGAATGTAATGACTATCTGGCCAGAATTTCAGATTTTGTATTTTTACTCAGATAGTTTCCGATATTTTCTCAGTGTTTCCAAGGTTGAAAATGCGAAAAGTTCACATGTGTTATGGTAACTGTAAAAATGATAGTATATTGTACCTGTGTATGCAATGGCCACACTTAACAGCAGTATTTCCTTTGTCCTAAGTAAGTGAAAAGCTCTTTCTGAAATTAATATCATATTGGGCTTATATAACTGTAGTACATGTATATTTTACTTATGTCAACAAAAAAACACATTATTATAACAAAAATATAAAGTTTCTATGAAATTGCAAAGAGGTAGTATGTAAATCTTCTATGCAGATAACTTATACAGATCTTTAAGGTACATGTGGATTTCTGTAAAATTAAGAAATCAAATTTACTTATTGTCTGTAGAGGACTCTCTCTTTTTTCTCTGTCACTGCAATACAACATAAAACAACCTTTAAGGTTTTTATCACATGATAAAAAGATAATTGCCTGACATTGCCATTTTTTTTACCACTATTAACCATAAAGACCAATATCTGAAAGGGTCTATTCATGTATGTATAAGAGACAAATGTAAACATAGAATTTTACAATTGATCCTGACTACAGGTATTTGGGGATATTGTTCCTACCTTGGTGACAAATTGACTAGGTTTTCAGTATCTGTGGAAATGGGTTTCCTCAAAATAAGGAAACAGAGGACCCCCAGCAGAGCAGCCCCTGATAGACCAATGAAAAGCTTGGTCCTCTCTGAGTCTGTGATGTTTGTACTGCCCTTCAGTACAAAATAACTGTACATGTTCCCAAACAACAAGCTGTAGAAAGAGAAAACAACATTGGTGTTTTAAGATCAAGTACTGGGTAGATATTTTATAACATTTTGTTATAATTGAAATTTATCAAACCATAGGCAATTTTCCAGGCTTATTCACCCATGTTCTTTGAAAGATCATTTTTTCCTATCCATTACCTGCACTGTAAGAGAGCCCAGAATATCCCGCTGTTTCGTGACACTGTGTCTGAGTCAGAGTTAATTGTCAAAAAGTTCCCTTGAGCTGTCCACAAAACTGAAATTACAAACCATCACTATAACACAAAACATTTTAAAATAGTACATCTTTGTATTTTCATCGTTTTCAAATGATATTCATGCAATGCAGAATTAATATGTTTTCCAAATCAGAGGCATAAAAATTCTTATTTTCAACTTTTTATGTTAAGAAAGTGTTAAAGTTTGAGTTAAATTCGGTACATCTGGATTTTTCACTTACTGGCAGCTCCTATACCAACAAGCACTGATCCTAGATACAAAGCCCAAACCATGGGCTTCAGAAACGACAGGATAAACAGGCTGCAAATAGAAAATCAAAGTCAGGAAAAGTAATACAGGAATTTCTTGCCTTGGATTTTTCTTTCTGATTACCAGAATCGTATCAATACAGATAACTCAAATTTCCTGCTTATAATTTTCATGTAGACTACATGTATTTATTTTTGAGGAAATGGGGGGTAACTCTTGTAATATCATATTCATGTGCAAATTGAACAGTACACATTTTGCTATTAAGTCAAAAAGAGATTTTAAATAATACATAATTATATTTTACTCCTAATGTTTCCAGAATAAGAATATAAGGAAATATCTATCAAATTATTTTGCATGTGTCTTTTTAGCATAAATTATTCCCTTTGTTTGTTATTAAAAAAATGTTTTTGAATACACGGAAAATATTTACAAAAATAGATATTATTTCATGAAAAATGCATAGTAAATGAATAAATTCCAAATAAACTTACAAATAGAGGATACTGCCAACAAACATAGTAAACTTAGGACCCAGAACTGCTACAATAGGCGGAGCAATCCAATTCGCTGCCGAGAAAACTACATAGATAATGCTCAAACTGCAAAACAGAGGAAAAGAGAGTTGATCTTCAGAAAAAATTCTCCACCATCATAGAAACAATGACATAATGTGTCACTTAAAGTCTTAAACACTGACCTTGTGTAACCATCTCCTGTAAAAGTTCCATTTGTATTTTTCTTTTCACTTGCCAGCACACTTTGCTTTAAAAAGAATATGATCATAATAACAGAAAAACGTAAAAATTGTAACTTTAAAAAAGCCAACACTTTTACATTTAGTTCCAATGCTATCGGTTTAGTATACTTAATAATATAGAATGTACACAAACCTCAGGAAATGAAAATTCATATGAAAGGTTTCCAGGGGCCCTCTATGACTGATTTAAATTGCATGTGAGCACAGAAATGTCATGACTCAGAGGCAAAGATTAAAACATAAGTAATCAAAGAGTATGAAGCTCATCTCAACAAATGTTATCAGTTTAAGTAATGCACATCTAACATCATATTTTCTTAATTAATAGTAAGTATTCATCCTGACAACAATATTCATGCAAGTTCTCTTTAACAAGGTCGTAAAGTTCAATGGGGATTGACCTGTACCAATATACCTTTTACCTGGTCACTCATTTGGAAAATGTAGGTCAGATCCAGCATCCAAAGCAAGTCTCTATTGTCCATCCTTAAATGTATTATCTATGCAAGTTAAATCATAACAGGCCATTAAACTAAAGAGCTACTTCAAAAACACTACACTGGTTACGCATATGAAAATGTAGGTCAGATTCATCATCTGAAGCAAGTCTGGTAGTGTCCATGCATCCCCAGGTGCATTACCCATGCAAGTTTGATCCAGGTAGGGCTTATAGTTACTTGGGAAAAGACCTGCTCCAAAAACTTTAATCTGGTCACTTATCTGGAAAATGTAGGTCAGATCCAGCATCCGAAGCAAGTATGGTAGTGTACTCCATCCCTACTAGATGCATCATCCATGCAAGTTTAGTCCAGTTAGGGCTTATAGTTACTTGGGAATGGAACTGCTCCAAAAAGTTAAACCTGTATGGTCACTCAACTGGAATATGTAGGTCAGATCCAGCAACCTGTTCCAAAGCAAGTCTGGTAATGTCCACCCCGAAATGCATTATCCATGCATTAGTTTGATCCAGGTAGGGCTAGTAGTTACTTGGGAATGGACTTGCTCTTAAAACTTTTACTTAAGACACTGATGCATCTTGACTCTGTCCATATACCGTAAATCTGGAAATTTTTACGTCGATTTTATTTTGCGAATTCGAGTCAAAATGCCGTTGATTAATTTTTACGTTTCAAAATTTTGCGAATGACCACTGTTTTGTTTACATTTTCTTATTGGTGATTTATTTTTAAAAAAAATATTTTTTGCGAATGCAATGAACTCGCAAATTTGCTAAAAATTTATCTACAGCAAAAATTTCCAGATTTACGGTATACTGGTCAGCAATTTATTTCAAAAGTTGAAAATAGTAGGTCTGGGTGTAAATTTGTGATATATACTTTATGTCATGCTGACACTAGTTTAACGCGATTGAAAAAAAAACATTTTGTTAGTGGCCATAGTTTTTCATCCCATGACAACATTGTCATTGTTGAAAAGTAAAGTTTTCTCTTGAAACCTCAATCCCTGTGATGAGGAGACTACCAGAACACCCTCCGGAGACTTTTCAATGTGTTTCAATTGCAGAGTAAACCTCGATTAAGTGACATAAAAAACGAAACTCAAGAAAAAAAATATTTTAGTTACCTCTGCCATAGAAGCTGTTTGGAAGGCGGTAAATAACAGCATAAACGCAACACCTAAAACAATAATATTGTACAGCCGAACGTCCGCCATTTTTGTTTACATCGATGTCACATGATCGGGAAATAATAAAATAAAGAGCCAACAAGTCCCGAATCACGTGCTTGTGAATATTTCAAATCGACCAGTTTTCTTAAGATCGCATCATATGGGTAGATTTAAAAAGAAATTTAGAGTGCAGAAAAATATTTAAGGGCTTTGTGACAAGCAAAGAGAGCAGAGGCCCATGAGCCACAAAGCTCACCAGAGTCACTTAATAAGTTCTGCATCACCCCCCCCCATTTTTTCTTTTAAATTTTTTGATCGTATTTTATGGTCCTGCCCCCTAAACAAGATCAATGATTTAAAAATGAATCTACACAACTAGAGGATGCTTCATTTTAAATACATGTATGTGATATATTCGCATATTGCTGTTCTTGACAATCTGATAAATTAAAACCAGATCTTTATTACGCTCCGAAGTTCTGATGGTCGCCGTACAAAGCAATGTTTAAATCAGATATTGCTGTTCTTGAGATAGTGAGGATTTTTAACAAAAAATCTCTACTGATGTTGCACCCTAGGAAACCCCCTGATTCTCTGCTGTGGTCTCACCCCACTCTGCACTATATATATAGCTCAGGAAACTTTCATCGATTTTCTTTTCCTTTCTGATCCAGTAATTTTTAAGAGTAGGTGTTTCTTATATATTTCAAAACAAAACTCTCTGATTTGATCCCATATCCTACCCTCAGGAAACATGATTCGAACAATTTATATAGTCAACGCTGTCTACCCCACCCCACCCACCCGGCCCCAGGATGTCCCCTGAGGTTAGGTTGGGGTCATGTTTGGGGATCTAATTTTACATCGAAAATGTAATTGGAAAAATTATTTAAAATAAGGAAAAAAATTGTTTGACAAATCTTTTTGGATATATACTGAATCTGAATCTAACTAGAAGTACTGTGAGCAATGAGCTCACTAAATGATTCCCCCGCCTCCCATATGTATAAAGTGGCAGTGTCTATGTTTTGCTGTGATAAACCCAAAATATGTGTCGGATCAAGAAGTAAAATAGGAGATGGACAATGGCAATATGTAATAGAGATTCTGTGAATACAGAAAGTTTCATCAAATTTCATACAGTGGTATGAGAGTTGCAGATAAGAGATTGGTACCCCAAAGCGTAACCTATATAGAATTTATTTCCAATCAAGGTCCCACTGGGGGCATAACACAGATACAAGCATAATATCACATAAAATAGAGAAAATGTACATAATAAAAAGATTAAACCAATTTTACCATGGTGGTGAGCAAATATTGTAAATATATTATAAGATGAAGGTCTGTTAATGGTTGCCAGTCTACGAAAGACACCAAGGGACGATGCTTCAGGAAATGCATATTCTAGTCAAATATATGACAGACGGACGGACGGACGGATGTACAGCTAGACGGACAAAGGACATACCGATTAATATATATACCATCCCGGTGTAAAAATATTTATTTTATTCCATATTCGATCACTGCATATGTTGAATAAAATTTTAATGCTTATTTCTCCAAAATTAATAAAAAGATTGAAAATAAATGAAATGTTTATTTCAATTTTGAAATATCAATGTGAAATAATTTGGGCGAATGGCGTCTTGGGCGAACACTTTTTAGGGTGAACGAACATACAATCTATTTTCGCTAACTTGACTATTCTACATCAAAGATATTTCTAGGTTTTTCGATCGCAACATTACTCGGCTTTTAATTCCATAATCGGGAAAATTTTCGGACCTGAGCGTCCTTAGCAGGTGCTTGTGTGAACTTGGAAGGTGAGCTAAAATTCTTTCAAGCATTATATTGACACAGATTTAAACACGCATGCGTAGTTCACAAGCACGCCGAGAGAAAGAACGTCGCCATTTTACGTTAACAAATCGTTTCAAAAATGAGCTACGGAAGAGGCCCACCAGAGATTGATGGCATGACCTCATTGAAGGTTGACAATTTAACATACAGAACAACACCAGAGGACTTGCGACGGGCATTTGACAAGTATGGAGATGTAGGTGATGTTTACATTCCGCGGGACCGATTTACAAGAGAGAGCAGGGGATTTGCCTTTGTCAGGTTCTATGACAAAAGGGATGCCGAGGATGCACTGGACTCTATGGATGGCGCAATCATGGACGGCCGGGAATTGAGGGTACAAATGGCGAGGTATGGACGTCCAAGTGAACCGTACAGGCGTGGACCACCAAGGCGCAGTAGTGGCTACAGATCAAGATACAGGTACGAGAGTCGAGATACCATTCTCCTACTAACCAACCATAATTTATGTTTGAATTTGTGTATGCCGATTATGTTGGATTCATCTTGAAAAAATACTATTCGGGGAAAGATAGAACTTAGATGGTCAAGATGGTCCTATTTCGTTGCATACCCCCCCCCCCCCCCTATAAACATTTCTGATCATAGTCATACTGATGTTACTTGCTTTGTTTTACAGGTCAAGATCTAGATCTCGTTCTAGATCCAGACGGAGATCCAGTTCCCGATCCAGGCGCAGGAACAGACGTTCCAGAAGCAGATCATACAGCAGATCAAGATCCAGGAGCAGGAGTAACAGCAAGAGCCCGAGCAGGAGTCGATCAAGAAGCAAGTCGGGATCCCGCTCTCCGGACAGAAACGACGAAGGCCAGCGGGAGGAAGACTGAGGACCAACCTTATAAAACATGAAAACTTTACATCTCGACTGAGACTTGTGCAGTTTCTCTTTCTAGACAAACTCCTGTGCAAAAAAGGTTAATACATGCCACAAAATCATTTGCACTAAACTTATCAGACATGTACTCATCATTTCATTAAGTGGCAAAATGGTATCATTTATATTTAGTGTTGAACATTGGACTATGAAATGTTTTATGGATCATTTACTATTTTAACTTTTCCATTTCATGTCATGTAAATAAATGTCTATTTTGATGGTTTTAATATTGATGTGAGTTTGGATATTGAGGTATGATGTAAAGGTTTTAACATGTTATTTCTTCTATTTCACATGTGCTGTAGGAGTAAGTAAGCTGCTGGTATGCAGGTCACTGCTTGTGCTGTGCAGTAGCAGTATTGCAGTAGTGCTGTGCAGTTGCAGTATTGTGCTGTAGCGGTCTGGTTGTGCAGTAATGCAGTGGGAGACAGACCCACCATATGCTGTTCCTGAATGCAGAGGGGTTCAGTGGGTGGGGGAGCTATTAAAAAAATAAGGGGATTCCGAAGTTTATAAATTTTATTTGTTTAAATGTAAACAACATTCTAGCTTTAAAATTTTAATTTGAACAAATTTTTATAGTCTAGTCTACTGATGTAATTTCTTTGCCCGTTAAAAAAGGGGGCAAGATTTCTCCAATTCTTTTTTTCCTTATTTAGTTCTTGAAAATCTAATAATTTAGCAAACCCTTCAATAAAATTATTGACATAATTTGCTCATTACTTTCAGACTGCTGTGTTTTGTCACAATATGCATGTTTAATTTGTAAAGTGGCTGGAAACTAAACTTCAGAATGACAGCTCTTCGAATGAGCATCTTAAAATTCTGTATAATTTGAATAAGCAGCAGCAGTGGCAGATGTATGTCATTGAAAAGCAGATGAGTTAACTAAGAAATATACATATATTTCTTTAAATGAATGGGGGGAAAAAACAATGCAAAGTTAATATTGCAATCATTTGAAAAGAATAGATTTTCATGAGAAGAATGGGAAGATTATTGGTGTGACAGATAACTGAAACTACTTCAGTGTCAATCTACTGGTAATTTTAAAAATCACATTGTGAGAAGTGCCATTTTTGCTTATTTTATACAGAAATGACCAATTTCCAAAAATCACAAGAATCCAAAACTATATTCATAAATCAAATGTGCAATATACCTTGAAGCAGTGTACATATGTAATGATTTTATGATAAATGATATACCAGTAAAAAAATATGTGCAATTGATTTGTATTGTACATATCATTTGTGTATATATCATGATAAAAACAAGATGTGTTCATGAAACACTGACCCCCTCGCCCCTTTGTAAATCTCTCTGAAAAAAGGAGCACCAACCTTTCAAAAGTTAGTCAGGGTAAAAAAAAAAAAAAGATGGTACCCAGGGGATAGTCTAGTCACAAGAAATGCACATGAAAAGTAAAAGCGGTTGCACAAACTGTCCAAAAGTTCAAACTGAAGGACAAAGTTGGTCAAAGTGAAGAGTTCAAATTCTGATATCTAAAAGAACCTGTTGTGTAAGTATTTTAGGAATACTGCTGTGTAATATGAAAACCCTTGTGCTATATACATACGTATACAAAGTAATTGCCAAACTTTTGGTTGAACTCTTAGGTCAAGGTCAAACGTGAAAAAATACGTCTCAAGAAAAGTCTAATGTTACAATGAATGCAAATGTGATGTATGAAAGCTGTAGAACCAACTGTACAGTGGTAAAGTAGTAGGTCAAATTCAAAGGTAAAGAGGTAAGATATTTTGATACCCAATTGAAAGGTTTAAAGGAATACATGCATGAAATATGAAAAGCAGTAGCTGGGGCAGCCAATCGTAAGGTAAACAATTTGTGTCCATTCAGACAGATGGATATTATTTATGTCAAAAGCTATATCCCCGAGTCTTCAATTCCGGGAGCACAAAAATCTATCTTGTATATGCAGTGGTTCAGGGCTGAATCGGGAAAAGTTTAATAGCATTGGTATAATGCAATCTGTACGTTTGAAAAATTAACTAAAAAACGTGTTTGTGATTGTGAAACACGGATGGCAGCTGATGGCGAAGGTTTAAGTTTGTTAAATACAAAACTCCAAGGTAAAAAATTGTTGTTATCTAAAGAAAGTTCTTGTCACAAAGAATACACCTTTGAAAGTCATAGTTCTAACAGCTCAAAAGTTGTGTTCGATGTTACAGTTTTTAGCTGGGGGCAGCGTAGATCTTAATATCTGATGAAACATCATGACGACATTTAATCAGATGAGCGATGTGGCCCATGGGCCTCGTTTAAAGTGGGTCACTGAGACTCCAAGGCCACGTATTTTTAAACCCATTGAAAGGTCGTGTCTCGTTGAATACACATGTGCAAGAAGTGTGAAAGCCCTTGCACCAACTATTAAATAGTTATGATCAAGGTTAAAGTTCGGAAATTTTTGGTAAATGTGAGTTAAACTTCAAGGTCAAATCAGTGGTACCCGAAGAAAGGATACACCTCTGAAATATCAAAGCCATTACCCAACCCACTCAAATATATGGTCAAGGTTAAAGTTTTTGTAGACAAACAGATGGGCGGAGCAAAAGCTATAACCCCTCCAATCTTTGATTACTTGGGCATAAAAGATCCCATTTTCAAAACTATCGTCGGAGTTGCCAGAACAATTAATATTCCCTCATGGTATTAGAAATAGATTCAATAGCTGTAGTATTTTTTTTATCTAACAGATCCAAGTACAGGTATACTTGGTATACCCACTTTTTTCCAAACATAATTTTTTCCCGCTTTCACCGACAGTGGGAGATTTTAATTTGGGTCTGTCTGTCCAAGGCCGTAACTAGGCTCAAATTTTTAGTGAGGCAAGGGTGCTGGGCATTCCTAGTGTCAGACGGGGCAAGGATAGTACCTCATGACCAGTGATTGAGGTTTCCAAGGCTAGGGAGGTCCCGAAACCTGGGTTTTAGAAAATAAAAGATTTAATCTTAAAAAGTTTTAACGTTTTGAATTTTCACCCGCATGACGCAGTGGTTAGAGCGTATGCTCTAAAGTCGCAGACTAAGGAATTGATCCTTACATCACGGGTTCGAATCCCACTGCGGGAGGTAGAGACAGGTCCTTCGGATGAGACCGTAAAAACCGAATCCTAACAAGACCTCTCGCTGTTCAGTCATCCTCAGTGATCCTGAAAGCCCAGTACAGATTTAAAACTTGCAGCCCTCCATCGGCAAGTGTTTCAATATGAATGAGAAATTCTTAGAAGGGGTGTTGAATAATCAAACAATTTACTAAATAAACAGTTTGAATTAAATTTTACATGCGTTCTAAATGAAAATGAGGTACCTGGTGAGATGGACGATTTAAAGAAATGGAAATAAAAGTTGAAAATATTAATTTAGCACGAAGACACACATAAATACAATGTAAAACTCTTACTTTTCAAAAAACTCTAAAAATTTAGTGAGGCATTTGCCTCACTTGCCTCAGTGGTAGTTACGGCCTTGCTGTCTAGTCGTATTTCTGTCTGTCTGTAACACTTTCTTTTCTATGCGATCCTCTCAGCATTTGCAATTATGAAATTTAAAATTCCTTTTGGCCTAACGGGGACCCTATTGATAATGAAGTCAAAGGTCAAGGTAAAAGAATCCTGTCTGTTTTAACACTTTCGTTTCCGCGCGATATCTGTTGCAGTGAGATGTTATACAAAACTTTCTATGGCCTAGGGAATTTTGAGGTGCAAATTTAAGCATAGGCACTTGTTTCGGTTATACAAGATACAAGATATTTTATTTACCAATCAAGGGCCCCGAGGGGCATTTCAACATACACAATTGCACAATTTAAACATTCTTTTTTTAACAGTTATATAAATACGGTGGTATATTTAGGACACGCAATTATTTTTTTTTTGAATAACAGAAAAAAATTATCTTGTGAAAACGACTTAATTATCTTGTGAAAACGACTTATTATCTTGTGAAATCGAGATATTATCTTGTAAAAACGAGAAATTATCTTGTGAAAATGAGATATTATCTTGTGAAAACGAGATATTATCTTGTGAAAACGAGATATTATCTTGTGAAAACGACTTATTATCTTGTGAAAACGTGATATTATCTTGTGAAAACAATATAATATCTTGTGAAAACGACATAATATAATAAGTCGTTTTCACAAGATAATATCTCGTTTTCACAAGATAATATCTCGTTTTCACAAGATAATATCTCGTTTTTTTCTGGTATATTTAAAAAAAAAAATTGCGTGTCCTAAATATACCACCGTAAATATACCACCTTAAATATCCATATAAGTTTTTCAACAGGTGTCAAAGAAGAGAAGTTTGGGTTGATTTTTGATATTGTTTCCATTAATTGTAACCTTTCATTGCTGTATTTTGGACAAATGAGCAAAAAATGTTGTTCATCTTCAACTTCCTGTATATTACATTGAGAACACATTGGCGGATCCAGAGGGGGGGTTCCGGGGGTTGGAACCCCCCCTTTATTTTTTGCCAAGTGGAGAAAGAGAGAGAAAGAAGGGGGTTAAAAGCGTTTCCCGAGAATAAATATTTGTACGTCTAACTTAGATATGTATTGAATTGATAGATTCTCACACATTTAGATTTCCATTCACCTTCACTATTACTTTTTATGAGTGAATGGTAGAAAATATTCTACTTAATTAATTTTATATATCTTATATATGATATGTAACATGCGAGGTTAAATTTGATATTAGATTCCCGCGATCTTAATTTGGCTGTGTTGGCTATATACATGTACAAGAAGGTGCCTTTTTTTTTTAAATTAAATCTTATGAAGGAACTAAAATTTAATTCATTGTTTTATACCCAACCCAAAAAGGATTTTCAAATTCTTTAAGAAGGTTCATTCTACTCTTCGGAAATGTTGTAAATCCATTCAATATTAAGGCTTCAGTAGTTTTTTTAAATGTGTTAATTTTTTTATACGGACTGGGGGTACCTTTTAATTCAAAGAAAAAAAGACGTAGAACAAAGATATTATTTTCCAAAATCTTATATTTTTCCATACATGTGTGTGTGAATCTTTGCTTGAGAGTGTGTAAGGGGAGGGGGTGTTAGAAGGACACAACCCTGGAACCCCCCCTTTCAAAAATTGCTGGATCCGCCCCTGGAACACTTTCTAGATTCAGGGGGAAGTCCTGCATATCTTCCCTTTTCAATATTTAATTGATGTGCAGAAATGCGAAGTTTAGTTATATTTTTCCTCTGATCACAGTTATTGACAATGTGAAGATAGTGTTCTCTTCCAAAATTTTTTGAAAATGGAATAAGTTCTTTTTTTAACCCATAACACAAGGTATCTAACTCCGAATTACACTCAGTACCCCCTCTTCAGAAACGCACTCATTTACACTTTCAGATGAAGTGCACTGCATGGCAAACTTTTTATTACCATTGTCGTCTACGATAATTTATCTATACAACCATATATGACATGCATGTCTTTATTTTCATTTTAAAACTCCGTAAACAGCGTCAAAAACTCTTCCCTACGAGTGGAAAGTCGAACAAAACCATGAAACGGTATGTGCTAATCCCGCACGAAGATTTTGATTGGCTAAAAATCTGTATCTAAAATTACATCGAAAAAATGTCGTACTGTTTTTATGAAAAATGACATGTAATCAAATTTTAATTATTCAATTCAATATTCTAAATCTGGAATTGAATTTTTTAACTCACTCATTTTTTAATTTTGCTCTTTGCCCGTATATTATTATTATACTATGAGTTAGAAATTTATTACCGAAACAAGTGCCTGTGGTACAAAGGTCAAGATCTTGAATTGATACACTCTGTGTGTGTAAAACTTTCATTTCCGGGCGAAATCTCAAGAAGCTTTAGGCTTTGCAAAAAATG